TACAAACGCGGCAGGTAAACAAACCGGCCCGGCCTGCCAGGGGCTTTCCCTGCACAAACGGCGGAACAAGTTTGGGAACCACTGCTGTACAGTATTAGTTTAATAATATAGTTATATTATTCTAATCCCAAAAAGGCACACAATTTACGTAATGGGAATAAGAGAGTTGGATATTTATACAAATTAGGACTTCCACATACTGAACAAATATACAATCTACATTCCTTTTTCTAACTGCTGCTTCTGTTTAGTTATTTTTAAGTTATTAAATCAGAGATTGACGATGGTTACAAAAAAAAAGAGGGGGGGGGAGGTTGTCCAAACCTCCATGCAGCTATACAGCTTTCGTGATGCATAACAAGTATTTAGTGCTACTTGTTACAAACATTCCATAATACTGATTTTATGAATGACTAATGAAATGCACTAAAAATACTGTATAGAAATTAACTAACCATGTAGCTCAGAATATTTAAATCTGAACACACATCTTAATTACATTTCATTGGCTTTAAATTTCAGACCCACCCAGTTTAATTACTTAAGATCCACATTTAAGATTCACAAAAAAATGCTGGAATGTCAGCATTGGCAACGGAAGTCCTTTGTTTATCCAAAGGACATAGATATCTGTCTGCTAGAAATTGAATAGACCACCAATGAATTTTACTTGAGTAATCAAAAAGCAATCAGAAGACAATGGCATGCAGTCACTAATGTCTGGGGACAGATTACAATGAGTTACCTACAGTGAAAAACTCCATGGCCTTGTCTAGAATAGGAAAAATGTATGTTAGCTCAGATATTAAACACTTGGTGATGGTTTTTTAAAAGCATTAAACCGTGTCTACATTAGGTGTTAACATGGTTTTGAACACCACTTACTTAAAAGGTGTAGCTAACACACTTTTAAAAACACATTTTTTCTTAGTCTGCTCAAGCAATAATCCCCTAAACCATCCCTTTGCCCTTCCTTTTACCTATTTTATTAATTTAAAATAATAGCTGGGTAGCAAATTCATCTGAAACACTACCTGTTTGTTGGTGTCAGCCATAGTATCATCCTGAAGAAACTCAGCTGGCACTTCAAGTTTAATTAAGAAACGTGCCAGATAGGCTCTTTTCTTGAGTTCATTAGTCCGTTGAAGGAGCCAGTGTAAGACAGGATGAATCACAGGTTTGCTTCCAATAACTAAACCCTGGCGGAATGTACTCCTAAATAATAATAAAAAACAGTAAGTCTCCAAATAAAGAACACTGCTTTGGAACAAACACGATTAGCAATTTTTATGATTCCCTCCCCCACCTGCTAATGCTTTTCTCTAATGTTGCTGCCAGTTTGCTGACCACGGGCCTGATTCTGCCGCCCTTATGCAGGCAGAATTCCCACAGAAGTCAGTGAACAAAGACTGCAGCAATGGATCTTGTGTTTCTGAGGTATCCTCCAGAAAACTAGAAGATCTCAAAATGGCCTGGATTACCAGCCTGCAAAGTGGTACAGGATGAGTGCAGTACAGACCAATGTGCCTGGTCTCTAAGGGATGGTGATGACCCTACTAGTCATACAGCACCCTCTACTGGCTAACCTATTCAATATCACAAGATACAAAAGCGAAGGTAGCACAACAGTGGAGCAAACCAACAAGGACAGGATTGAGACGCAACTCCCAAACCCTTGAATTTTTTATTACCACAAGCTAAGTGTGCCATACACTGTACATCTCCTAGGGGTTAATGGAAGAAATATTTTCAGAACATCTGCATATTAAGTGGAACAATCAGTTTCTATATACTATTTAAACAGTAGAACAAAACAATAACTTATAAATAGAGATATATTGATGAATGAGTCTGAAAATGAAAGAATTTGGTACAAATGTATCATTTTCTCTTTGAACGAGGAAAAGGATATTGGCAATGGCAGAACAATTAATAAGACAGACTTACGGGTAACAAATTATAAAATCTGAAGACAAACAATATTTTTACATAGAGTAGATCATTTCAATATTGGTCTGCAATTAAAAGACTTATTTTGCCATTATCTATAAACAAGTTGATACTTACAGGTCAGTAATACTTCCTGGAGGTTTGTATTTAAGGATACCAAGAAGGCTCAACATTCGTTTAGCTGTTTGCTCTGGCATCTCCTCTCTAATGTCAACAACATGCTGAAAAGCAAAAAAACAAATACTGTATTATCATGCATAGGTCAAATTGTTAGCCTCGCAGATCTAAAGGAAGGGACTTGATCCACCCATTATATGATATATTATAACATGTGACTGACATAAGTGAGGTGTCACATACAGAACACCACTCTAAGAGCCAAATTCTGATTCCCTTTGGACTCTTTCCCCATGTGTGTGCTTAGGCAACTTTATTTCAGACCCGTATTCTGGCTAGCCATGGGCCCACAGTCTGCCAGTCATACAGATTACTTCTGCCAAGAGTAGCAGTAATCCTGATAAGACAGGGTGCATAGCGGCCACGATTACATTGTGGGCAAGATCATTACTCAGATATATGGCCCACACCTTCTGATCTAAAAACCTATTCCCCTCCATAGGTCAGCACTCATAGAACCCGAGGATGGATTGTGGACTGTCAGCTCCTTTGCTTTGTGGGGCACAAGGGTAAAAGTTGCATCCCTGAGTTCACTTTCTGATCACTTCCCACCCTGTACATGTGACCAATGGCCAGCCAGAATTTTGTCCTTTAGATGAAAGAAATGTAAGAATAAGATCAAGATTCACATTCTGATTCCTAATCAGCAATTTAAGATGGCTGGTCTCCAGCATTTTCTAGTTTGCCAAAAAATAACTAGATAGAAAGGATTCTCTTCTGGACGTGCACATTTAACTCTCGAAGACTAGAACAATCTACATATGTAAAGCAAACATATGCCATAAAATATACAAAATTAGCTGCAAATGGAGATTTTCTGCATGATTTCTGCTTCCACCACTCTTGAGAGCAAGCCTTCTAATGCCCATGTTTAAACTCCATCCTTACCTTTGGGTCAATCTCCCCCAGAACATCATTGAGAAGCTGCAATAGCTGCATTGACTCCAGTGAGTCAAATGTGATTAAATTATAGTTCTTCTTAAAAGGCTCCTTATTGAGCTTCTCAACAATTGATTTGATTTGATCACTCATAATTGGGTCCTGAAAACAAAAGAGAGAGCGGGAGGGGGAAAAATCCACTCAGTAGAACAGATGTAATGAAATCTGTGAACCTCTGTATGCCATAAAACTCTTGTGACGGATGCATAGAGCTGGGGGGAGAGAGGGATGCTGCAAGACAGGAAGCCTGCAAACCCTGCCTAGTGCATTGCCTTTTACCATGAGGGCTTGTCTACATTTGAAACTGTAGCACTTCAGTGTAGACCAGCGTTTTCCAAACTGTGTTTCGCGGAACACTGGTGTTCCCCACGATGTGAATAGGTGTTCCACAAAAGAATCTAGAATTTAATTTTGACTCTTGCACTTGATTTTTGTACTACTTTATAAAAGCTTTCCAGTTAGAAATTGTTAGTTCAAGTTATTTTAAATTTGTATTTTTGCTTTGTTTTATAAAATAAAATATATTTGAGCATAAATCATGCAATTTTTTATTTGAAAACCAAACGACTACAAAATAATATTATAAGTGTTCCGTAACAGGCTAAAAAGTGTTCCGTGGCCAAAAAAGTTTGGGAAACACTGGTGTAGACATTACCTACACCAGAAGGAGGAGTTCTCCCATGGGGATAGCTAATCCACCTCACCGAGAGGGGGTAACTGTCGATGGTAGAATTTTTCAATCGACCTACAGCTGTCTACGTGGGGGGTTATGTTGATTTAACTAGTCATTCAGCAGTGTGGATTTTTCACACTCCTGAATGACCTAGTTGGGTTGACCTAACGTTTTAGTTTAGACCACAGAAAGAAATGTGTACATTGAAACATTTGTATTTACTAGCAAAAAGTAGTTCATGGGCTCAAGAAGCCCTTGTGGGTCATTTCAGCCTGGCTGCAATTACTGCATAGGGTATCACTTCCTGTAGCAGAGACCTCTATCGGTATCAGGGGGACCCCATAGCAGGGACTGACCCCTACGGGTGCCAAGGGAATCCCAGATCCTCCCCGCACAGCAAGGAACAAGCCCGATGCATTCCAGAGGACCCCATAGAATAGAATCATAGAATATCAGGGTTGAAAGGGACTTCAGGAGGTCATCTAGTCCAACGCCCTGCTCAAAGCAGGGCCCAATCCCCAATTTTTGCCCCAGATCCCTAAATGGCCCCCTCAAGGATTGAACTCACAACCCTGGGTTTAGCAGGCCAATGCTCAAACCACTGAGCTATCCCTTCCCCCATATCCTCCCCAAAGCAGGGACGGATCCCTATGGGTGACAGAGGACCCCATATCCTCCCCAAAGCAGGGACCCTCCCCTCTGAGTGCCGAGGAGGGGTGTCTCATCACTCTGTACAGTGAGACTGATGGGGACCCTCAGCAGGGACCGATTCCTCTGGGGACCTGGGGGACCCCATATCAATTCTCACAGAGGGACCTGATCCCACTGGCTGCCGGGAACCTCTGTATTCTTCCTTGCAACAGAGACCGACCTCCGGGATGCCAGGGGGCCCCGGATCCTTCTCCAGAGCAGGACACGCCCCCATGGCTGCCCGGGCCTCCCCGTGTTACTCCCTACAACCGGGACGGCTGGGACCGCTGCATCTACCCCAAAGCCCCCGGGGCCGGCCGCTAGGAACCTCGGCGCTGCTCCCCGCAAGGCCCCACCCCGGCCCCCGTTACCTGACCTCCTGCCCCAGCTACCCGTTGTCGTTCCCCCCTCCTCCTTCTCCTTCTCCCCAAGAGTTTTTCTCCTAGTTACCAAGCCCTTGGTAACGGTTGCTAGGGCAGAGTGGAACCCTTACTTCCGGTCACGTGGCGTATATGACGGCTGGCGCACAGGAACGGGCCATTGCCCTCCAAGCCGGGGAGGAGAGGCGCATGCGCAGCTTGAGGCAGTGCTCTCTCTGCTTCCCCTGCAGGGGCAGGCGGTGTAAAGGTGGAGCCGGAGTGGGCCCCCCCCATTGGCAACCCTGCCTGGGCGCTCCCCTAGCTGTGACTCCACCTGGCACACGGGCGTGAGCTGCCCACTTTGCAGTGTGTATCACCAGCTGGGCTGCCTCTGACCTGGCCAGAAGTGGGCTTCATCCAGCGGAGCTCTAGGGTTGCTTCCAGCACCTTTCCTTTCACCACAGTCAGTCCTCATTTCTGCAGGGGCTTATTAGTAACTCGGTCTCCCATTGAGCCCTTTTCATCAGGAGGTAACAAATTGCTTTAGGAGAATTATTGAATTAAGCCTGTAGGCCCAAGAAATTCTCTCATTTGACAAAGGAGTAAAATGAGGAAATGAGAACATTTGTTTTGGTTTTCTTTTTCATTTGGACCTGATTACCCAAGTATCTGACTGTCCATAATTGCTAACAAATAGATATGAATCACGTTGGAGAAAATAACCGTGTAACCCATTTCAGGCAGGTGGGTGCATATACCAGTCTTTGCAATTTTATCATCTCTGGAATTCCAAAATGATTCCAGTTGTATTCAAAAATAAATAGCTTGCAATCTGTTAATCATCCCCTTCTAATGTTTATTCTTTTTCAGAATCAGGGTGTGTAAATGATTTGCAAATGTAAAGAATTTAACTTTGTATGTCTTATTTTATTTTCTGATATGCTGTATGTGAGCTGTGTTTTCTGTTTCCAAGATGGAGAACTTAATTCTCTTCTCATTCTAGTGTGACTCTATTAACAGAAAAGGAGATACTCTTGATTTATACCTGTATAATATCTCAATCCTGAAAAGACTAGTGCATAGATTTCATAAGAATAGCCAGATTGGGTCAGACCAATGGTCCATCTAGCCCAGTATCCTGTCTTCTGATAGTGACCAATGCCAGGTGCTTCAGAGGGAATGAACAGAACAGGTAATCATCAAGTGATCCATCCCCTCTCACCCATTCCCAGCTTCTGGCAAACAGAGGCTAGGGACACCATCCCTGGCTAATAGCTATTGATGGACCTATCCTCCATGAACTTATCTAGTTCTTTTTTGAATGCTGTTATAGTCTTGGCCTTCACAACATCCTCTGGCAAAGAGTTCCACAGCTTGACTGTGCGTTGTGTGAAAAAATACTTCCTTTTGTTTTGCCCTTTTAAAAACACTTTAGATCATGTTCCTTTGCTACTAGTAGTCTTTATACTGAGTTTAGTAATCCTGTTTATTTACTAGTTACTGGAAGAGATTCACTTTCCTTTCACATGTTTTCCTAAATTTTTTTAAGCTCTCTTTTCCTCAACTGAGTGTTTAGAGTATTTGTACTACACAGGGGGAGAGTGTCTTCCTATGGAGCTATTAGTGCCAATTCTGGCCCCTACGAGCTGTTCTGGGGGTATATAGGGGCCACAAAGGACCAGGGGAGAATTCCCCATGCTGGAGCAGCATAGAGGCGACATAAGTCCCCCTTTGCCAGTCCCAATGAGGGGATGTGCCTGTTGCATTCAGAGCTATGAGGATTCTGGGATGTGGTACAGCCACAAGGAGGCTGCTGCTGAGGTTCTTTTACCTTACAGCACAGACTATTTCAGCCCCCCACAGTGGCCCAAAATCAAGGCAACACAAAGGTGGCTTAAAGCCAGGTTTGCCATCACCCCTTGGGCTGTGTCTGTCAGGAGGCCCAGCACAGAATCAGACCCATTCATTTTTATAAAGAGGATGAAGAGTATTCAGGTAAAGAAGGAGTTGGTTTGAGTGCCATATAAAGTGTCACAGCCCTACTCTCCCTTACAGACACTACTGCATGTATGACTGCCTTGTGAATCTGTGAGGGGAGCTCAACCATGAAAGCCAGCAAATCAGAGTGGAAAGGAACCTGAGCAAATAGAAATCATGCTCAACAGCAAAAGAGAGATCACCTTATATGGAAGCATCCATGGGAAAGGAAATGAATGTATCTGGCCTGGCTGCTAAGGTCAGATCCCAACTGGATGGAAGAAGTTAATGTGAGTGTGCTTAGGAAGAAAAGAAGACACTCTGAAGAGCAAGTCTTTGTCCCAGATGGAATCCAAGTCCTGTTGTTTTTCCTTTTTGTTATAAATCAGGGAATGGGCACTTAAATCTGACTGTGTTATATTAAAATCCATTTCTACAGTATGGCTTTTCAAGTACCTAGATGTATCACAGGTCTTGCTTTGATCCATCCCAATCTGTGTTGTTTTGTGCTATTATTTTGTATCACACTTTTCAAAGTTTGTTGATATGCTGCAGGACAGTGGGGTGGGAGGAGGTATTGTTTCATATTCTCTGTGTGTATATAAAGTCTGCTGCAGTTTCCACGGTAAACATCTGATGAAGTGAGCTGTAGCTCACGAAAGCTCATGCTCAAATAAATTGGTTAGTGCCACAAGTACTCCTTTTCTTTCTCAGCATAGTATACTATAAACCACAGCACCCCAGGACAAAATCAGTGCTGGCACAGGCAATGTCCACTGTGATTCTATGATTTTATGAACAAGTACCTGCTTACCCCAGGTGCTATTTGCCCCTGTGTGGTAGGGAATTGTAAATCAATTTTCAAGAAACTCTGCCAACTTAAAATCACACTTTGAGGATTTCTTGTGCCGGCTGCTGTCACATGTAACCTGAGGTGACTATAAACTGAAAAAGATTATAGAAAACAATGCCTCTGTCTATCTTAATGAGTTTGTTTATTTTGTGTACTTGAGTCTTTGGTTCTGATGTGGGTCTTTCACACAGCAACAGGGAGAGAGGGAAATTGGCCCTCTGAGCCTTACTTATGAGTCTGATCTGGTGTAATCACATACTGAGGGCCTGTTTGACCACTGCCCTGCACTTTACATGGTCATTCACACCAGTGCAGAGTGGGCATACAGCATTAACATTCTAATTTGGTAGCGTATCACACCCACTTTACACTGGTACAAATGACTATGCAAGGTTCAAGGCAACAAAGAATCAAGTCCTTAATGGAGCCAGAACAAGGTGTAAGCTTCACTAGCATAGTCTCCTTTAGACTCATTTTTGCATTTAGCCCAATGTTTTCAAACCTCTGGGGTATACTCAGGTGTGTCCTACTAGCCTTTGTAGGTAGATCGGAGCAATGCAAAGTTGCTTCAGTGAATTTGGACTATTGTACAGTGAATCCCTGACTGGGACGCTGTCCTATGGTGATATTTTGGCCTGTGTTGAGGTAGCACTGCCCTCTCTTGGAGAATAAGGGTGTCACTGTGCAAAGCACAGTCATCAGCCTCTGCTGGCTCTGGAACTTCTTAATTTATTTCTAAAAATGTCCTGTGAATTTGGTATTGATGAGAGGGGCTGGGTTGAGAACTATAAACAGCCCAGGCAGAAACAGCTTAAGTAGCCTACTTCTACTGTTCCTCTCCTGTGCCTGTCTAACTGTACCTGCAGGGAACAGAGAGAGATCAGTCTTCAGTGATTAATCCTGGTCATGTGCCACCTGAGGCACATTGTACATATGCAAAGAAGAGTCTTTATGATCCCTACAATCTTTGGCCTCTGCTGAGAATACTAACAATGGAGCCAGCTAGTGTATTTTGTGGGCCCCCTGATGTGGATACCTGTCCCCTGGGAACTGGACTGATATCAAGCAACCCATTTCATAACCGTTAACGATGAATCCCTGGCAGGTGCATATGTATCATAACCCCCATTTTACAGAGGAGGAACAGGAAGCACTGAGAGGGAAAGTGAGTTGACCAAGATTCTCCAAGGGTGCATTCTTCAACATTGACAATTTTTATATCAAGAGTGGATGTTTTGCTAAAAGGTCTACTCTGGGAATTATTTTGGGGAAGTTCTATGGCCTATGTTATACAGGAGGTCAGACTAGATGATCACAATGATCCCTTCTGGCCTTGGAATCTATTAATAAGACCATACAACAAGCCAGTGACAAACCCTGATTAGATAGCAGATCCTTCTTCTCCTTCCTGTTCTCATGTCTTTACCCCATGCAATCTTCTGTCAGTGGGATCATAAAGAAACAGAACAGAACTGTAGTGGCATTTGGAGATGGTGCTGTTGAGCACAGACTGTGAGCTGCACTGGGCAGTTCTAGGTGCTCTGGAGGCCTGAAGGAGAAACAGGTGGATAACACAGCTCACTCTCCCATCTTCTTTCAGGCCCAATGCATTCTTTAAGGCTTCCTAGCTTGGGCTAGAGTAAATGAGAGGCTGTTGCTGGATTTCAACTCTGCTCCTGCTTCCATAGAAGTTTACTGAAAAACTCTATTGACTTCAGGCTGTGGGACCAGGCCCCTAATGCACATTTTAAACTAATGAAGTCTGAACCTGTGAGATGCCAAGTGAAATCAGTAGGACTTGAGGGCATTCACCAGCCCTCGAGAGCCACTCTACAGCTCATGAGCCTTCAATAAGTGTCTGGCACATCCCCATTTGTTCAGTGAGAATCAAGATTTCCAGTGACAAACTGGGTGAGGTGATATCTTCTATTGGACCAACTTCTTGTCTCTCTAACATCCTGGGACCAACATGGCTACAACAACACTGTGAACAAGATTTCCAGTGGATGTTCAGAAAGATAAGAATTTGCCAACAGAAGGATCATGGCTGAGAATTTAGCAGGAAATTAGATCTTGGATCCCAGGACATTGATATGAATAGCCAGGCTATTTTGGAGGACATCATAGGAGTATTAATGCATTTGACGCTTTTGCTTTTTAAAAATCCTGAATATTCAAAATGTTAAAGCATATTTGCAATGTCCAAATAAAAGGAATTCCAGAAATATTCCTCCGCTGAAAACTGTCTTTGTCCAACATAGTGTGGGTGGCTGTGGACCATTGTATTTTAGTCAACAAACAGTCCAAATTCATCTCTTGCATAATTGCTTTGATTTTAATGAAGATGCAACAGGGATTAATATGGTTCTTTGTATTTTATTTGTCCATAGGTAAAGCAGTTGGCATACTTTAACCCATTTTCTTGCTACTGATTAACAATAAATAATGATCTTTCTTTAAAGAGCATAATATACTCAGTTTATTCAGCTTCCATGCTAGTAATGCAAATGGTTTTCTTACTGTGCCTTTAAGTGGTGTGGCCTGCCTAAGGGAGTTGTGGGGGTGGAAGTAGACAGAATCAAGTGGCTACAGTTCTTGAGAGCGTAGATTCCAAAGGAAGTGATAATAATGGCTGCATTTTGCAGTTTGAAGAATTTATGTGAATATGAAACTTCTAAAGTTGTCCGTTTTCAGAGCGTTTCCTATGGGAGTTTGAAATGGACCTTCCATATGATTGTCTTCCTGTATGTTTGGTAAGTTAAAAGTAACTAGATGAGCAAATGTGTTTCTTATGTGGGTGATTGTCTGAATGTTTAGGACTCAGCCTTCAACAAGTACAGAGAACTTTTTCACTCTGTACTAGAGGACCAACATAAATCAGTTGTTGTTGCTTTTTAAAGGCAGAACAGTATTGTGTGGTAACAGGAAGGATCCTATAGAGTGGCTGTTTAGAACAGGGAGTTGGCTGCTGGAGGTGTGGTCCTGCATATTCTTCTCTCATCCTCCTAATAAAAAGTGCCTGAATGTAGTTTCTTTTCCAACAGGGCTGTCTGGTTTCATTTACACAGTCAGTAGACTTACCTCAGATTTACACTGATGTAACTGAAATCAGAACCTGGCCTTGAGAGTCCAGGGGTAGATCTGCCATTCAAGTTACCCAAGGGGTCACCCAGGGCATCAATTCTTAGAAACAGGGTTTCATGACTATTAAGTGCATAGGTCTGGGACCATAAAGGGCAGATGTTTTCCTGTTTGCCTCAAAACTGGGGCTGCTTTCAGCAATAATATTTGCTGACCAATGTCTTTAGTTATTAATAAAATATGGTTAATTATTACGGATGGGTGCTTTTACACATTGAGCAGCTGATACCAATTGCACTGGCAATAAACTTGTAAGAAGTGCTATTGTCTAATTAAGGCACCATTTCCAAATTGTTGCTGAGATCTGCTGCAGCAGCATGACTGTCCCAAATCACTCTTCTCAAGAGGGGAAAGACTGACTGTAGAAAACACCTCAGAGGCAGAAAAAATAGTAAATTAGGAGTGATTTTAAAACTGACAATTGATTTAGTCAGTTGCTTCACAGTTACACATTCTAGACACAGTTTTTCACCCCTGAAATTTTTATTTGTTAACTGAAATAGTGCTGACTCAGTCAACTAAATCACAGACTTGTCTGTGAAAAGAAACCCTTTTTAGATGCCATTATTTAATGTGGACAGTGTCTTCTGAACTTACACAAAAGTTTTGGAAGGGGGGGGGAGTGAGAAAACCTGGATTTGTGCTGGAAATGGCCCACCTTGATTATCATACACATTGTAAAGAGAAAAGGAGTACTTGTGGCACCTTAGAGACTAACCAATTTATTTGAGCATGAGCTTTCGTGAGCTACAGCTCACTTCATCGGATGCATACCGTGGAAACTGCAGCAGACTTTATATACACACAGAGATCATAAAACAATACCTCCTCCCACCCCACTGTCCTGCTGGTAATAGCTTATCTAAAGTGATCATCAGGTGGGCCATTTCCAGCACAAATCCAGGTTTTCTCACCCTCCACCCCCCCACACAAATTCACTCTCCTGCTGGTGCTAGCCCATCCAATGTGACAACTCTTTACATAATCAAGTCGGGCTATTTCCTGCACAAATCCAGGTTTTCTCACATCTCCCCACCCCCATACACACACAAACTCACTCTCCTGCTGGTAATAGCTCATCTAAACTGACCACTCTCCAAGTTTAAATCCAAGTTAAACCAGAACATATGGGGGGGGGGGTAGGAAAAAACAAGAGGAAACAGGCTACCTTGCATAATGACTTAGCCACTCCCAGTCTCTATTTAAGCCTAAATTAATAGTATCCAATTTGCAAATGAATTCCAATTCAGCAGTTTCTCGCTGGAGTCTGGATTTGAAGTTTTTTTGTTTTAAGATAGCGACCTTCATGTCTGTGATTGCGTGACCAGAGAGATTGAAGTGTTCTCCGACTGGTTTATGAATGTTATAATTCTTGACATCTGATTTGTGTCCATTTATTCTTTTACGTAGAGACTGTCCAGTTTGACCAATGTACATGGCAGAGGGGCATTGCTGGCACATGATGGCATATATCACATTGGTGGATGTGCAGGTGAACGAGCCTCTGATAGTGTGGCTGATGTTATTAGGCCCTGTGATGGTGTCCCCTGAATAGATATGTGGGCACAGTTGGCAACGGGCTTTGTTGCAAGGATAAGTTCCTGGGTTAGTGGTTCTGTTGTGTGGTATGTGGTTGTTGGTGAGTATTTGCTTCAGGTTGCGGGGCTGTCTGTAGGCAAGGACTGGCCTGTCTCCCAAGACTTGTGAGAGTGTAAAGAGTGTAAAGAGAGTGGTCACTTTGGATGGGCTATTACCAGCAGGAGAGTGAGTTTGTGTGTGGGAGGGGAGGGGGGCGGAGGGTGAGAAAACCTGGATTTGTGCTGGAAATGGCCCAGCTTGATTATCATACACATTGTAAGGAGAGTGATCACTTTAGATAAGCTATTACCAGCAGGAGAGTGGGGTGGGAGGACGTATTGTTTCATGGTCTCTGTGTATATAATGTCTTCTGGAGTTTCCACAGTATGCATCCGATGAAGTGAGCTGTAGCTCATGAAAGCTTATGCTCACATAAATTGGTTAGTCTCTAAGGTGCCACAAGTACTCCTTTTCTTTTTACAAAAGTTTTAGAAATGGTCAGTTTCATGAGTTTGACCCATCACGTTTGCACACCTCATGCTGCAGAAGCAATGGATGCTAGTGACTCTTAAAAGGTCACTGTCAACTTTTAAAAAACAATTGTAAACAAATATATTTCCTTCCTTATGTTGTTGGTAATGCATTAGATTATTAACAGAGGGAAAATGTTCAGGCCTACGTTTTCCAAAACGGTTAGTGATTTTGGGCGTTTAACCTGAAACTCCTGAAAGGGCTTGATTTTCAAAGGGCAGAGGGCTCAGCACTTTCTAGAAGTCAGGTCCCTTTAATATTCTTTATTTAGGGACCCAAAATGGAGACATCCAAAAGCCTTAATAACTTTTTAAACTCTCGTTCTAGAATCCAGTTTAGGAGGCACTTATTTATGCCCATTTTTTACTTTTTGCATTTCTCTCATTTTGGACAGTGAAAATGCATCAAGAGTAAAATTTTGAAAAGCGCCTAAATGACTTAGCAAAAAGAAAAGGAGTACTTGTGGCACCTTAGAGACTAACCAATTTATTTGAGCATGAGCTTTCGTGAGCTACAGCTCACTTCATCAGATGTATACCGTGGAAACTGCAGCAGACTTTATATACACACAGAGAATATGAAACAATACCTCCTCCCACCCCACTGTCCTGCTGGTAATAGCTTATCTAAAGTGATCAACAGGTGGGCCATTTCCAGCACAAAGCCAGGTTTTCTTAGGAGTCTGTCTCATTGAAAGTCAGTGGAACTTAGACTCCAAAGTCACTTAGGCATTTTTGAAAATGTTACCCCAAGACAATAACTAGGGACACTTTCAGGTACTTGGTGCTGCAGTGTTTTGGTGCCAGAGGCTGCAGCGGTGGGGTGAGTGGCTATTTATTTATTTCCAAACAACGATTTAACTGGAATAGGATAGCATTTATATTGGCCTTAGGTTTTATAAAAACTTGTTTTTACAGAATGCAAATATTAGGCTAAGTTTAGGTTGGTGGTGACCTTTTAAAAATAACAGTAGTGTATGGAAAGCCCGATTTTATTTTAAAGAGAAGCCTTTCAGATTGACCTCTTAGCACATGAAGATGACATTAAGCAATTTGAAGAGACTTATGAGCTGCGATTGGTACTGCTTTTAATGGGTCCCTTGTCATGTGGCCTTTGCACGAGATGAAATGCAAAGGGAGCTGTTTCAAGCCCCCTTGAAATTAGTGGGGAACTTTGCCATTGATTTCAGTGGGGCCAGGATTTCACCCTAATAGTACACAACTACACTATACAATGTCCCTTACATACATCAGTGCAATCCCATCAGGGTCAATGGGATTGCAATGGTATCACTGAGGCAATTGGCCTGAAAAATGCATTCAACGCATGACAAGATCCCAAATTTCTTGAAAAAATTTAATATGGCTTTTAATTTACAGTACACTTTTTCAAATAATCATGCCAAGAAATGACTGTCATTTCAACCCATTTCAGTGGGTTCATTTGTGCTTTCCATTTTGTTTGGTTAGTTATGTGCTTGTCACCGACAAACGGTATCAGAAAAAGGACTCTGTGATCAGCTCAGTTCACACTAAAGTGAAAGGAGTAGTTCAGACTGACTCAAGAATCTGGGACACAGCCGAATACACTATTCCCATGCAGGTGAGTCTCCGTTTAAGGTCAGGACAGCATCTGACTTCCATTGATACATGCTGTTGCTTTCCTGGCATGTGTCTTTGTCCTACTGCTCAATGATTTTAACATATCAACAAGAGAGGCAGTTGTATTTGTGAGCGTGAATTAAGAAGGCTGTAAATTGGGAGCAGTAACTTTTAAGCATCGGAAAAAAAATTAAAAATGTCTTTTTATGGGATTTTTAACAAACTTGATGTTTCTACAACAAGTAATTTTTTATTTTAGTAACAGAAAATGTAGGAAGAAATTCAGTCCTGGTGTAATTCCACTGAAGTTAATAGAATTATTCCTGATTTACACTAGCATCACTGAGATCCAAATATGGATCCTCCACCAGTTTTACAGTGGAAGAACTTTATTGAGTTCAATGGAGTTACTCCTGATTTACGCTGGTGTGAGTGAGATTAGAACCAGGCCCATTTGTCTTTAGTGGTGTCCCTGTGGATTAACACAGGGGTGACTGAGATGAGAATGTGGCACATAGTATTTTATTGAGACTTACTGTTTTCTTTTCTCTCTGTATAGGGAATAGACTCTTTTTTTGTGATAACCAACATAATCATGACAGAAAACCAGTTTCAAAGTGTTTGTCCTGAGGTAACTGCATTTTGTAAGTGATTTCCCACCTGCATAACATAGCATTCTTTGGCAGAAGTAATCCATAGCAGCCTCAAACATTAATTAGTGGCTCATGATTATGGCAATTTTGCACAAGTGAACATTGCTTTGTCTTCCTCTGCTTCTTTATTTCATTCAGCAACATGCAAAAACTAGTCTAGTTATTCCTTTTTTTCCCCTCCGCCCTTTTGCTTTTCTCAGAGAATCAACTGGCATTGGTGTGATGTACCACACCAAAGACCCTGCAGCCAAACCTTCACCTGGGTCACACTCTCCCCATGCATTTGTTCTTCTTGTTCAACACATCTGGATTCACCCCTTGGTATAAAGTGCAACTAGGAGGAACAGTGGGGTTAGAGAATTGTTGCCAGCTTCTCTGCAGTAATCTGCTGTGCTGTAATTCTAAGCTTGATCATGCTTGGGTCTTTTTCTTTTATTTCTGGTCAAAATTTGTAGCCAATTGCAGTTCTCCTATGCGTTCATTCATATAGTTATTAGAAGAGACCTGAGTTTGCAGAAATGAGTTGACTGTTATTGGCTACAGCGTATATGTGCTCTTAACAAATAAGGAACTAAACAATCCACTGTCAGATTGGCTTGCGCTCCATAGGCTAGGTGAGACTCAGTATTCGCCAAATGGAAAAGGATACAAATGATAGGGAATGAAATGTTACTGCAAACCAAGGAAAGTTAAAAAACCAAAAGCTACCAGAGGCTCTTTATCTGATCTGTTCTGTTTTACAGTTTTGATGTATAAGACAAACACAGCAGTTAGTTAATAAATAAGGACCAAATTTGTGTGGATAGAGACCTGAGGCACAGAGACACAAAAATGCATGCAGATTTAATAGCTTTCATCACAACATAGAGACCACACTTGTTTTTGCAAATCAGGTATTTGCACATGCAACTGGGTATTTAGACAGGCAGTTGTGATCATTGGGTGTGAAACTGTGGGCACACAAATGCATGCATATTTTTGAATGTGCAAGCTGGCCTCAACTATTCAATTTTTAAAAAAAAAAACAAGCATACATAACACACATATTAATCTACTCTTGATGAGTGTGAAACAGAGAAGTAAATTCCGTGCCACTGATAGACAAAACAATATCTTACAGTACATGTCCAAGCTTGTCAAAAGATTGTATTCTATTCTGTGCCTGTACTCTAAATCACTGGTGCCAAAGCATCAGAGTGATACCAGAGAACTGCAGAGAGAGAGAGAAATGATAAAAAACAGCCTATTTACTAATTGTGCATTGAGGGGGATTTGATGAGGAGAACTCAGCAAATCTGCTTGTGCTCTGCAGGGCTATATGGAACAGGACCATGAATATTTTCTTTAATTCTTCTGTGGCTGCAACTTGAATCCCTCAGAAGCCTTTGGTTTATTCTGATACTCAGTTTTTAAAAATATTTGATATGTAAAGTAATTAAATTGGTTAATCAAAATTCTCCCTTCATTGCCAATAGGATTCCAGCTGAGGAAGTGGCATGGGTGTAACCAGAACTGAATTTGATGTATTGTCCCAGAAACTCAGGGCACTAAGGAACAACTTCCTTGCATTTCCTATATCATTGGTGTGTTTTTTTTTAAATCACATTCACCGGACAAATAAATCCCTGGGCTAACTCCAGTGAAGACAAGAGATTACACTTGAGATGAATTTGTCCCATTCAGTCTTTGCTTGTACTGACCTTCTCAAAAACTGAGGTCACATTAAGCACCATGCTGAGTGAATGGTTACAGAAGAGGGTTGTACTTCCTCTGTTCTGCCTCTTGCTCTGTGATTTCATCTTACTGTTTGCCATTTCTGTGCAGAACATTTTACAATAGCAACAGAGAGGTAGATATTTATAATGATATTTTATATTTGTCTTTTTCAGTACCCCATTGCCAAAGCTGTTTGCTCTTCAGATGTGAGCTGTAAAAAAGGACACATGAACCCCCAGAGTAATGGTACATGGATTCCACATTCAGATTTTAAAACTCGTAGCAGGTGGTGAAATGCAACTGTCTTTTAGTTAATAATTATTAGATGGTTAAAGAAATTATGGGGTACCAGCCTTGAAGAATTTGCAATTGTAGAGCCAAATTCTGCTCTAAAATATACTGGTGCAACACCCACTGGCAATTGTGTATGCAGATCTATCTGACTAGGGAGATGAACTACCAAGCACAGTGGGTGGTGAGGAGGGAGGCATAAAGACAAGAGTGGGAGACGGAAACAAAAGGAGCAGCAAGGAGAATGACATGAAATTTGTATTCACTCACCTGGATTTTTTCCACCCTGTGGAGAATTTTAACAAAAAGTGGGACTGGGCAGTGGCAGAGAGGGTGGATGTAGGAGGGGGGATGCAAATCGGATACCACAGCACACATACAACCCACTCCTGCAGTGCTTTCTACAGGTGTAATTCACATTGCAGGCAGGGACAGTTCTGCATGTAGAGTGACTGCAAGATCAAGTCCTATGTAAAGGCTATGTTGTCTTTGATACCCTTGGAAAGGTTAATTAGTTCTAAAAATTTATTAGATATCTGTGTCCTACCTTCTAGGACACTGACAGCCAATAGGAGTTGTTTCAGATGGTGTAATAGTTAGTCTGTGTTTCATTGGCTGAATGGTCACTCAGTGTCCTGCTGACAGTGTTGGGGGGTGAAGTTCTGCACTTAGCAGACCATTCTTGCTCTAATTTGCTCATATTGTTTAATTAAGCCCTAAGAACTCTTGAATATTGTTACTCCGGCACAACTATGGAGAAAATCCTTCACCCACATCTAATGTGCAGTATTGACAGGGGCAGGGGGAGGCGTTAAGCACTATGCATGTGTAGTGGAAGCATGGATCTGATAACCCCTCCTACAGTTAGTTCAGCCCATAAAGAGCTGCGAAAATCAAAACCTTGACTCTGATTTTAAAGTCTCTGTCCTACCTGTGTGTAGAGATCCACCAGTACTTTGAGACTGTGTTATCCAAAGGACTGAGTCAAACTGTGTGTGTGAGAGAACTCAGTAATAACTAACTCTTCTTCTGTTCAGGAATTCAGACAGGAAGATGTGTGAACTATAATGCAACAATTAAAACCTGTGAAGTCTCTGCCTGGTGCCCTGTGGAATCAATGAAAGGTGCCCCAGTGTAAGTAAAAGTGTTCACATTTTTATGTAATCAATAAAGGCTGGATCCTGCAAGACAATAGGATCTGAGGGTGCTCAGCACCTGGCAGAGGGCCCTTGGTACCTTTGTTTGTAAAACATTTGTTTCCAACCCAACTTTTATTATTATTAACTCTGATTTTTATAAATTAAGTACCATCAATTTGCTTGTAGCGGCTTCTCTTTCTCTCTGATCTTGTGGTGAAGTAATAAATCCAAGCTTGTGACATCACAGTCTGTTGCCATGTGAACAATTCTAGATGTCACAAATTTGTCATGGATTCACTACAGGCATTTTGATAATTAATGAGGATGACAAGGAAAAATGTGGCAAACCTGATAAGTCTCATGGGAAACATTTGCTAATTCTGACTTGATCAGTCCAAGGGAAGTGGTGAAAGGCCTAGTGCTGGTAACATGTAAAATTGGACTGAACTAAGCTCTATAAAATATACTGGAGTAGACTATAAGACCTAGTAGCTCTCTTCCACATCTAATTTGTATGATCCCATGATTGTAAAGTGTTCTGTGATGTAAGGGTTCCACTTTAACATGTAGTTACTCATTTGTATCAGGCAAAAAAATGCAAATATGGTTATAATAAAACATTTGATTTCATTCACATGTGCAATGCAAAAGTATTCTCCACTTGAAGCCCCAGGATATAACATTGCTTCTACCAAACCCTGATATGTAGAAGCTTTTGAACTACGTGCACAAGAAACTGAGTCTCTTGTACTAAACCAGACCTTGCTGCTTAGAAAAGACATACAGGGCAAATTCTCCGCTAGAGTAAATTGGTGCAGCTCCTTTGACTTAAATGGAGCCGTGCCATTTTACACCAGCAGTGTATTTAGACCATGATATGGTTTTGCTTTCTTCTCCCCTCACTACCACTGCATGTGGTTTGCTAGGCTTACCCACAGAGAATAGGGTAGTGTTTAATAGGCCACCTGCTAAACTGATGTGTCCACACCACAAAACCCAGCAGTCCAATTAATATTGATTTGCCCTCTTGTTGGCAGTTCCAACAGAGATACCAAGGACTAAATAGGCCAGGGAAACTAAACTCTCCTCATATCCCAAGGGGTAGGCCCTCGAGGTTGCGAGGCAGGCATAGGGGAAGCTGCCAGTGCTGTCTTTGCTCCATTGATAGAGGACCCCATGATTGGCTTAACTCTTCTTTCCTTCAAGCCAGTGGTAAAAGTCTTACTACGGGCTGAGACCTGAGCCCCTTTGAAAATCCCACTTTAGGGCTCCAACCCCGCATGCTGCTGAGTACTCTCAATTCCTATTGGCTTCAATGAAATTCAAGGCTGGTTAACACCTTGCAAGGTCGAGTCCTAAATTCACATAAAAAAATCAAGAGAATGGGAGTTCTCCCACTTTTGTGACGTTCATGCAGGGCAGCTTAATGAACACCCATGTTGTTAAAACTCTTGGTTTTGTTTCAGTGTAACTTCAGTGAATATTAAATATTTTCAAACATCGCACTGCGCAAGCTGGTAGCTGCACACAGCAGGAAAGAGATTTGGCCTATATTTACATTGCATAATTGGCAGAGTGCCCATATTGTTGTCCAATTTTCCTCTAATGTATCAGTGATTGGTTTTGGTCTCCTGGCAGTGACAAATGAACCAATAAATGCTGCCAGGATGGCAAATCACATGTATGAGAATTCTTCACAGAATCCACTGGTAAGAGTTCATGGCAGTCACTAAATGGGTAATATGAGTGTTTCTCTGCAACTTGAATGAATAACTGAAACAACCTGTATGGAAGTCTGTAGCCTGGTGCCTTCAAATTTTGACTTCTGGCAGAGCAATGTTGGTTCTCAGCTATACCCACAGTTGGCTTTTCTGTGCAAGTTCTGTGCATTATAAAGAGCACTTCCCTTTCCTTCCCTTTTGGGATGGTTGAAACTGAACAAAACTATAACTTTTTGCAAGAATGTTCCCTTTCTTTTGTTTTGACTGGTCTCCAGCTCCATGCAATGCCAGGCAAAGTGACCAGGATAAACTTACTTAAGGACAAGTGTTTACAGCACCTTCATAGAAGAGATCTGGAAAGATTCCCAGGTGTCTGTCCTGAATGCATAAGCAGTTTAAAACTTTTTGATTAATCTATTTTTAGTGTTTTAAAGTTCAACATACATTATTCATTTCTTGATCATTATAAACTGAAGACTGATTAGAAATTCTAATTGTTCAGATGATGTCCCAAAATGTTTAAGTTTCAGTTGCAGCCAACACCTGCTTTTTCAATTTGCTTAGGAGACAGGCTGAAAAGTCTGTAATTGACACTATGTGTCAGCTAGGTAAAGTATTTCCTGTCCTTGCAGGTCTTTGGCTCAGAGACTCTGCTGCTAATACAATGATGTACTAAGAAGAACGCTCCGAAGTACTGTTCTTTGGATGGGTTGCTGCTTCAGGGACCATTTGTGTCCACCTTTGGGGACTTTCTAGGTGAAAATCAAAGCGTTCCTGGCTCATTTTGAAAAGAGAATGGGAGAAGCCAGTATCTTGGCTGACATCCTCTTGCAAAAAGTTATTTTTCAAAGCTAATTTTGTGCTGGTGCCAGGTTGACAATGCTGGAAGTTGAATTCCTCTATTTTTCCACCAAACAGGGATGGCCTGGGTAGTAGCAGAGCAAGCTTCCTTCACATGGTCCAGCTGATGTGACTTGAACTTTGACCTGGAGGGACCACCTCCATGGAGGAGAGTGTAGTTCAACATCTCATTTTTATAATCTGTGCCAACTGTGGTTTAAGTGTCTGTGACAAAGCCATCTGTCTACTGGGAACTGCAATGAACACACCAACTAATTTCACATAAGCCACAGCGATCACATGATAACATCAGTCGCTACTGATCAATGCCCAGATTTCAAATTAGCAGTCCCCTATTATTATTTATTTGTATTACAATAGCATCTGGGGACCCCAGTCAGAATCAGGCCCTATTATGTAGCTACTATACAAACAAGTGTAAAAGACAGTCCCCACCCCCAGAGAACTGACAGTTTAAGTTTATAAGTAAAACCAAGAAAACTGTGTATTCTATTCTCAACCCCCTGAGCCATCTAACTCGTTATTCTCAGTATCATGTTCTCCTACTGACAATTTCCCAGGTAATAGCAAAATAGTGTACCATTAATTGATGTATTTAACTAAAGGAAGATAGTTGGTTTAATAGCTTTCATTGTACTTGATATGTTCCTCTTTTAGGCCTGCCATTCTGAAGAGTGCTGAAAACTTCACAGTGCTAATAAAGAACAATATCCACTTCCCAAAATTTAATCACACTGCGTAAGTGCAAACATTCATCCATCTCCTCTTAAATAGTGGTTCTACTCCAAAAATGAATGTGTAAATAAAACACCTTCAGTCTGCACTTCTCTGTGTATTTAGGGCTGTATCTGCTATGCTGAGTGACAAAAATCAGGTCTGATTGCTCTTTGTTCTTCTTAACCTTGCATGACCAAATACAGCTATAGGACAGTGAGATGGACTCTATTCCTTCTCATGCATTAGTAACAAAATGACTAAGTTGTAATTGGCTACACCAGGGTAAAACCACTGAAGGCGTAGGATAACATAAGTGTCACTGAGGGCATAATTTGAAGGGAATTGGGTTGCACGGGTGTCACTGAGGGAATAATTTGATCTGCAAAGCCTTTGTTACTGGTGGTGATGCCCGAGAACTAAAGGACCCAGCTTGATTCTTAGACCCCACGTGGAATTTGCAGAGCTGGTAGTTACAAAGTCCCCCCCATATTCTACTAATAAACTGAGCACATTTGATCATAGGCTCTGACTTCTACTGGCACTAGTGGGTGCTCGACCCCTCTCTGCTCCCGGTCCCACCCCAACTCCACCCCTGTCCCACCCATTCCAATCCCTTCCCCAAAGTCCCTGCCCCAACTCCGCCCCCTCCCTGTCCCTATTCCGACTCCTTCCCCAAATCCCCACCCTGGCCCCACCTCTTCCCTGCCTCTTCCCCTGAGCGTGCCACATTCCCGCTCCTCCCCCTTCCCTCCCGGAGCTTGCTACAGCTGTTTGGCGGTGGCAAGCGCTGGGAGGTAGGTGGAGGAGCGGGAACGTGGCACGCTCAGGGGAGGAGGTGGAGGAGGAGGTGAGGCGGGGGGGGAGCTTGGCTGTCGATGGGTGCAGAGCACCCGCTAATTTTCTCTGTGGGTGCTCCAGCCCCGGAGCACCCATGGAGTTGGCACCTATGCATTTGATACAGGTTTGGGAAGGAGCAATGAGCAGGGAGCCCCTCAATGGCATTTGTAGATGCTTTTTCAGGGAAGAGCTCACATGTATGTTTTCAAATAATTTGTGGTTCTTTGCAGAAGAAACTTTTTACCAAAATTGAATATTTCATGCACATTCAACAAGATAACTGCACCAGGCTGCCCAATTTTCCAGCTGGGAGATATTCTCCAAGCAACAGGAGAAAATTTTTCAGAGATGGCAATTCAGGTCTGTGGCATGACTCCTGTCTTCCATTCAGAACACCTCCATGGTATTTCTCTTTCCTTTTCATTGTTAAATGTTGCAAACAATGGAATTGTTCCAGTTTTAAGGGCTGATCCTGGGGGGTGCTGGGCATCCTCAACTCTGCAGGATTTCATGAGAATTGAAGGTGCCCATATTGATTTAATACACATTGGATTTTGTTGTCAGTAATTAAACAGTCTTCTCAGGCCAGTCAACATGGACTCTTCCTCTCCTCAGGATTCTGTTAAAGGGCACCTTGAGCCATGTATTCAGGGGAAAGATTCCCCACCACCTCCCCAAAAGCTAGGCTGGCACAAGAATTCCTCTGACGACCTAACTCTGTCTACGCTGGGGATTAGGTTGGGTTAATGACGTCTCTCACCGGTATGGATTTTTCACACCCCTGAGAGAGGTAGCTATGGTGACGGAACTTTTCAGTGTAGACCAGCTCTGAGGGTATGTCTTTGCTGCCATGAGAGGCGTGACTGCAGTGAAGTCCTGGCAGCACAGGGTTAGCTACTCAAGCACATACCCAGGCTCTCATTGTGTAGCCTGGGGCTGCTGCAGCTTCGCTGTTGTGGTTAGTCAAACTAGCTAGATCAAAGTTAGCTCGGGTGTATCTACAGTTCCACCTCTCATGGCAGTGTAGATGTACTAAGGCCATGTTGACACTACAAACTTTTGCTGCTGCAAGTTATGTCGGGGCAGTTAGCATGTGCGCATGCAAAAACCGTTCTGTGCAAGTTAAAAGCAAGTAAATAAATCAATGGAACAGAAGTTAAGAGGAAGGAACGTTCATGTCTGTTTTTGCTAAACATATAGCTACCATGCCTCTCACAGGTTAGTATACGTGAAGCTGTGGTGGGCCTTACAGTCCCCTGGTGTGGAGTGGTAGGGGTGATGCCATGTGGAATGTTGATGGGGGTCTAGGGAGCTGCTGTAATTGAGTTCTCCACGCACTGCAAAGGGAAGCGAGCCTGCAGTTGTTGACACTGTAGGTCCACAAGAGTCTGCAGCATCCATGTTTGCTGCTGGAGAAGCCCCATTATTTCCTGGTGCACCTTCCTCTCCTTTTCCTGCTGGGACTTCTTGTCCTTTCTCCAGTCCACTCTTTCCTTCTCCATATAGTCAGCACCCTGCAGGCGCTCTGCTAGTGGTCTGATGCAGCTCTGGCTTTCCCCATCCTCTTCTTTCTCCTCCTTATCTGGCTCAGGCACTCCACAGGTGTGGAGGGGGAACCCCTCAAGGCCACTACAGCAGCAGCTAGAGATAAAACACCCAGAGGTAGCATTGTTAATATCGTCACAACAGCAAGTGAAAGTTCAGGTTCAGAACTCCTTTCCCTTGCTCTCCTAAAGCTTTAAACAAGACACACTAAACACTTCACTTCTGCTTCGGAGTGTTTGTGCATGGCTCCACTCACAGCACCAGCCAGGGTGAGTGTGGCCCGCCAGGAGGAGGGGGAGGGGGAGGGAAGTATTCGGTTGTATGAAACTAGGAGTATAGTGCAGTAGAGTGAATGCTAGCCCCGTTTTCACAGGCAGTGGTGATTTTAGCTGCTATCTGTTGCCTGGGGTTAATAAAGGTACAGAGACCACTGCTGCTGCTGGTGTCCCAAAATTGCCGGGGCCCGTGTGCTGTTAGTTTCTTTATTGCAATGGTGCCTGCTGAAGTTATGGCCGACTGGTGTGGGAAACCATCCTACCGAGGGGGAAGAAATAAGGCTGCCGTCCCTTATTTGTATTTCCTCACCCTACTATAGGAGAAGGACACCCCAACTTTAATAGGGTGAGGAAATACAAATAAGGAAGAGGGGAGAAACCCCTACAGGATATGCATTAGACATAGTGGTGTCAGTGTAACAATACAATAAAAGTTGTATTCCAGCCTGTGGGCAGTAGGAGAGAAAGATGTCGCCCCGGGAGGTGCCAGAATGATGGCCACTGGTGACGATGGGGAAGGTGGTGGCGATGAGGACGATAATGGCTAACATTTCAGGTTGTTCTGCAAGGGATGGTGTGACTATATGGATTTTCAGGTGTACATTCTGTATTATCTCTCTCTACCTGACTGAGCTGGAGCATCAGTGACTTAGCTAAATGTATTAATAAATTATTGTAAATATAGAACAGTTCCTATAATGTGAGTGTTGCAACTGTGCACATCAGGGCTCCCAGCTAACCAGTAATTTTAATAACACTAGGCCTGATTCTGGGACAAGAACCTGTCGATCCTCAAAGTGATAACTGGGAATTCTTAAGTAATCAATATAATTAATATATTATCTATAGATCAGGCTACAATTGTCACTAGAGTGGTCAGTGTCTGACTTTTTGGGACAGCTGCTGGAGGACTGCTAGGGTCAGCTGACATAATTGACACAGTTCTACACCTGTGCTGCATTGACCTCAGGACACCTGCCATGGCTCAACGCCACTCTGGGAAGTGGTGATACTGCGTTGCTATAACAGGGCACTTACATCTGTGAGAGACAAATTTAAGTGTAGACATGCGCGCAACTCGGTCAATGCAAGGTACCTTACGTCGACCTAACTTTGTAGCGTAGACAAGGCTTCTGCCTCACAATGCCTCTGTAAGTTTGATAATTACAGGTGGGTGAAATGGAGATACATAAATATGAAGTGATTTTCTCAGAGCCAGAAACCGAACCCAGTTCTGCTGAGGTCCGGGTCCGCAGTACCATCGAAGCTGCAACATTCAGCTCTGGATCCCAGGTCCCCTGCAAAATTAATGGGAGTTTGCGTTTGGGATTTTAGTTTGAGCCCATCTTTGCCATTTCATTCAATTAAACTAATCAGAAAGTGGCAATGAAGTTGGAATTTTTGTTGGTAGGATGAGAAAATTGGCCAAAAAACAAGAGATGCCTTCAGAATCTGAATGAATTCTAGCTTGTAGTTAGTTTGGTCTGTGCAGTTCATTAAGTCATTTTAGAAGGAAGTCTTTGCTAGAGATAGAAATGTACCGTAAGTACAAGTGTATTTATAGGTGTGATCCTGCCATTGGACCACATTCAAATCTCCTCTGATTTCAGGGGGAGTTTGGTGCACAGAGCAATTTCAGAACCAGGCCTGGCACAATCTTTTTTCTTTTTCATGCTCCTGAATGCATTTAAAGTGTGTTTTCCCTTTTTGTGTCAAGGGCGGAATCATGGGCATTGAGATCAACTGGGACTGTAACCTGGACAAATGGTTCCACCGCTGCAGTCCACAATACAGTTTTCGTCGCCTTGATGACAAAACGACGACTGAATACCCTGGATACAACTTCAGGTAAAAGGTATTTTAAAAATCATACATCGCAAAGCAGTGTATTATCTGTATTGCTTGAGTGATAGGGATGTGCAGGTGGAATCAGGTAGGTGGAAACCGAGGGGTTTGTAGCTAGAGTGCTGGAGCCCTGGCTGTTGTTCTTGACTATGCCACATATTTCTGCTGTAATCTTTCTTTTGTATAATAGCCACTGTTGTACTTATGAACCTAACTTGCATGCACAGTTACTACAGTTGCCTGTGCATTATCAGTCAGACTCGTCACGTACACAAACAACCACTCATGCATGCAGCTGGTCATTTGTGCTTGCGTTTACCAAGGCTACGTGCACACGTCTCGTGAATGTACGTGCAAATTAAGATCCGAATCCTGCAAACTCTTCCATGCAGATGGATCTTTGCTCCCGCATGGAGCTCCATTGAGTGAGGCTATGTATAGCACAGGAGTCTGGCTGCCTGAAACAGCTCATATGATTGGGGACCTAGCTGTGCACACACTGTTCTGAGCCTGACCCCTAAAATCCCTTCTCTTTCCCCTGGGTCGTAGTCTTCCTTTATTTGACTTGTGTGTGATTTTTATTACGTTATGGGTTTGAATGGAATTACCATAGTGCTTAGGAGCCCCAGCCATGGGCCAGCACCCCATTGTGCTGGGCGCTGTACGAACACAGAACAAAAAGAGCTTACGATCTAAGACAAAAGGCAACAAGTAGATACTGACAGACAGACAGACGGGGGACCACAAGGAAACAATGAGACAGTGTGGATCAGCATGGTGGGCAAGTGGTTTCAGTGTGATGGAATGCTAAAAGTGTCTTATAAAATTCAATCACTAGATGGTACAGTGTGTAACATACTGTACGTGAGCAGGTAACAGCTATACCTGGCCGTGCATTAAAATATCTTAAAGAGAATACATCTTGTGTATCGCTCTCCATGATGGGCCCTCTGTGCCAGTCCAGATCTAGTACAGAACCCTAGTAGCAGCTTTCCAAATTACCGTGTGCAAGGAAGACGTGACATGACATGAGTAAATGACACCAACGCCCTAAGTGTTGTCAAGATTTTTGTAGACATCGCAGAAGGGTTTTGAAGGAGGACAGCAAGGTCGCTTTGTGAATGTTTAGGTTCGTTATAAAACAAACGGGCAGTGTCAGGGCACCTAGGCAGGAGGGCACATTGTAAAGAACATTATTTGAATATATAAAAACATAGATCTGTAGCGAGATCCTTTCGCTACAGTTCAGCACAGTTAGCTCTGCTCAAGGGAAGCCCAGCCCTGGCATTGTGGAAGTGTGGCCAATCAGGGCTTAAGAACCATAGAATGGCACGCCTGTTTGGGGAACTCTGCGCATTGCCAGCTCACGCCATGACTGGCTAGCGCTACTGCTGTTCATCAGTGGCTTCGATGAGCGTGGAAAATCCCGCACCCAACCCCTGCCACTTTCTCAAAGAACAAAAGCAAAGGAAGAAGAGCGTTTGTGTGCAGCAGTTTAACATCAACGATGAGTAATTTAAAATAACAAAACAGGGCAGTGAAGATTAATGGGCAGTGAGTCGTTGGATTGGTTAGATCCTAATAGAAAATTGGCCTGACAAGTCTGACAAGGCTAATTAAAACAAGAAGAAAAAGAAACCCTGCACAAAATCCACTTCTTTTTGGAGCATGCTGTTTTTCCAAGCACATTTACAGTTTTGAAGGAAAAAGCTCCATTGTTCTTCTGAGAATAACTCAGCCCGGGATTAATTTTTTCCTGGTGATGGGGCTAAATTCTGCTCTCAATTACACTGGTGTAAATCAGGAGTAATTCCACTGACTCCACTGGAACTCCTCCAGATTTTGCACTGGCGTAATAAGGGAGACCAGAGTCTGCCCCACAGACACTCTTTTCCTGTGCACATTTCAGGAGAGTTTTTTCTGTAAGATCCTGAAAAACTATTGCTCATGTGAGTAAGATTTACTGATAAAGTGTAGCTGCATTGACTTCAGTATAACTACTTGGGTGAGTAAGAGTTGCAGGATTGGGCCCTGCCCTCAACTGATTGTGACTGAATCAAACTAATTTTATATGTGGTAGAATGTCACATGGCAATGTGCAAAATAAAGGGTATTAAATATCTCGTGCATTCTTGGGTAGGTCTGGGGAGCAATAGGTCCTTGTAGGATGTCCAGGGAGCCTTTGTCACAGGAGAGTGAAGCTACATAAGGGTTATCCTAGAGGGAATACATTTCAGGGACCTTTTTATCATCTGAGTGAGCATAAAGTTCTGGAAGTCAAGTTATTGTCCAAGGCCCGAACCATGCAAACTGTTCTGTGTGGGTGAACATCAGTGCCTGCGTGCAGCTCTGTTGACTTCAGCTGAGTTTCAAAGGGAGTTTTGCCATAGACTTAAATGGCATCAGGATTAGGCTACAAATGTGAGGTGCAAATCTGAGGTGCAATGGGCCACTGCCCAGCTGGTCATCAATGATGCTCTTAATATATCAAATCAGAGCACTAAGCTGTTGCAAAGGAGAAAGTTTCTGTGACATCCTAAGTAAACGTAAAGTGACTTCTCTTTTTGGGGATAGAAAACCTGTGTGTGGGGAATACTATCTGATCCTGAATACGTAGGTAAAACCTGAAAATAGAACGTCACAGAGCTGCAGGCATCAACGCAGGCTCAGCCAAGTGCTGGCCAGCAAAACATGCCTCAGCTAGAGATCACAGAAACATTGAAAGCAAGATAAAAGAGTGTTTCGTGTCTGTGCAGCGAGGAAAAGCAGAACCATTACATTGTGTACTGCTGAGTAACTCACTGCCTTAAGAACAGATCTCCGCAAAGGGGAAGTTAATGAACACAAGACATGCAATGCAGATTAAAAGCACTTCAGAGTTCTGCAGAACTGAGATGGGAGAGGGCTGTGCTGCAGCAGGTGGGAGTGAGTGAGAGCTGGCTGATGGCTGAGTTGCTGGTATCAAGGCGATGACAGACACACTTGCTGCCTGCCTTGTACAGCTTTAGGAAACATTGTCTTTTTGGGTCCTACCCCAAATAGGAGCAGGTGCTCTTGACTCTCAGCAGGAAGTGGGCGGCACTCAGCACCTCTCAGGAAACTCTCAGTACCTTGCAGGAGTGGGCCCAGCAGTTGTAGGAAGTCCTGAGATTTCTGACGAGAAACTGCTATGCTGGGTAAAATGCCCCTTGAAGTGTGGGGCTTGAATGCTCAGGAGTGTTGGGCCAAATCCACTGGTCCTGCCTCAGTTTTTGTTCAGGCCTTAAACGCATCCTGACAGCCATTTGCCTGACTAAGGATTGTGTAAAAACTGAGCCCAGGGGCCAGATGCCTCCCTCTGAGGGAAGACCCATGGGAGGGGCTAAGGGAGGAAATTTGCACAGGACTCCTCCCATGAACAGACCACGGGGCCCACACATCGATTCCAGGGCATTAGCAGCAGGCCAGGGGCACCTGTGCAAAGACCCTTTGCCTCTGTGTCCACCTAGCAGCCCTGTGTCCCCTCACCCCAACTCTCTGGCACTGGGGGTGTACTAGAGCCATGCTGACAAGGCTTCCTGAGCCAGCAGCTGCCCTTGGGTCCTGCCTTTCAAGGGGGATCCCCCACATAAAGTGGGAAGCAGGAATGACAGGAAGATAATACAGGCTGGGTGGGGTTGTACTACTTCTCTCTCGGGAACTCTTCCTGCCACAGGTAGTTCTTCTTGCTTGGATCCACAGGGTCTAGGATGAAGGGGAAACAATGCTGCTCCACCATCCTGCTGTGTCCTTGGCAGCATAGTCACTGCAGTGCAGCATGAGCTACAGAGCAGAGTCTCCTGATTGGATACGTGCAAGGAATTGAGGGAAGCATACTGCAGAGTGCAGCGACTCCCTGGCTTTGGTGCCAAATTCAGCGAGAGCCCCACCTCAGCAGTGAACCCACAGAGGGGCTTCTATGAGATTGGGCACCAAACCATGGAGACAGCACCCCTGCCCCCCTCTTTTACCATCCGTTTTTGGGTTCCAGTGAGTTTGCCTCCTCTCAGGTAGTGGATGTGGAGGGAGAATATGGCCCATGGAGAGCAGCTCCAAACTGGATTGTCGGGTTATTTTCAGTGGTTCTGGCAGACGTGGCTCTGGATATTGATGATGGGCAAGATGAACTGAAACCCGGGAAGGAGGGGAAACTGTGTTTCCCTCGATGCTTTCATGCCATCTGTGAGATGAGTAATTAGAGAGCAGAGAGCTGAGCTGATGGCCTGGCATCTGGGGCCATTTCCGATTGAACCCCACCTGCTTTTACCAGAGATTTTGGTTACTACCCAAGAGACTAACCACTAAATGAAATCGGCATCTGCAGTGACAGCGAGTCCTTGAATTACTTTCCACAGCGCTGACACCTGTTTACCCCACTAAAAAAATTACAGTTGGAATTACTAGGCTAAATGAATCCAAAGAGAACACACATTAGAAAATACTGAAGTAAACCTATCAAGAACAGGACAGTGCTTTCAGCCTGGAGCACTGACATGAGTGATACAAATGTTGGTACTGGAGTTAAGATGTTAATGTCATTGAACATTTCTCAGTAAGTCTCTCAGTTTGGGGTTTTTTTTAATGACTCTGCCTGATTTCCCAACTTTTCAGCATCAGGTGGGAGCATTCCCTTAGTTCAAAGTTCACAGTGTCCCTGTTTGCTGATCCTTATGCTGGCGTTATCAGTGGAATTTCTCATGGTAATTGACTTTGGTGATGAGGAGAAGGAGTGTTGTGTAGTGGGTAGAATAAGGGGCCGGGTTTCAGGAGTTGTGGGGTCAATTTTCTCCCTTCTGCAACTGAGGTGGTGTGTGTGACCCTATCCCAGGCAGCTGCATGAGTTATAAAGCTGCCCTTTATCCCTGCAGCTAATACTCTCATTAGTTTTGAAACAGAGCAGCAGAGCTGAGCAGAAAGTGACTATAAAATCCAGTGGAAGAAAGGGACCCCAAGAGTAGGTGCAGACAACACGGTGGTAAAAGTACTGGTGCCTGGGAGACACTAGTGTTCCCACCATTGCCAGCAGCTAAAATCTTCCTGGGTTTTTCTTTCTGCTTTTCCTGTAGCTGACTGCCCCTCTAGAGCCTCTAAAAGTAACCCTTTGATTCAGGTTACATCCCTTCCTGGGCACTGCTCTGATTTTTCTAAGCTTCTGTGATGGGAGCTGGGGGAAATGCTGTTCATCAAAGTGACCCACAATCTGCGGCAGCTCTCATGGGTCCTGGGAGAGGAAGAGCTTTGACTTCGTAACTGAGGGTAGCATACTAAACGGGCAGAAATGGGAGGAGGCAGTAGAAACAAAACCCCATTTTATTCTCTAGCCCAGAGGCACTGAATTCCCCTGACATGCTGTATGGATCCTTGTTTGGTTTTGACAGATTCGCAAAGTACTACAAACAGCCCAGTGGGAAGGAGGAGCGGACGCTGATCAAAGCCTATGGGATACGATTCGACATCCTTGTCTTCGGCACAGTAAGTGCAACCCTGTTTTCTCATCACCGCTGCAAACCTGTCTGCTTCCAAAAAGACATGAGAATTTCTTGCCCTTTGGCAAAAATAACTCCAGTGATAACAACAGTGTAGCCCTTATGGGAGGAAGCGCTGCCTAGTGATTACAGCATAGGACTGTGGCAGGGACCTGGGTACAATCTTGGTCCTGAGAGTGACTTTCTGTGTGACCTTGGACAAGTCTCTTCCCCTCTTTGTGACTCAGTTCCCCCGTCTGTAAAACGGAGGTCATGCACGGTACCTATGACAGGGCGGGGCTTGTGACACTTGCTGTTCGTAAAATGCACTGAGGTCGTTGGAGGGAAGGTGCTATAGAAGGGCATGGTATTATGGTTACATACTGTCCCTGTTAGACAGTGTTTGACATCTACAAAGGACTACAGAAATGAAGGGCCTGATTTTGCCAGTGAGGCCCCAGTGGGAGGGGAGGATCCTGGGTACTTTGCAGGATGGAGTCCTATCAAATCAATCTTCAGACGAATGGCAGGACTTGGCCTTGCCATGCTGTGGGATCAGAGATCAAAGCTTGGTCCCTCATTCCTGGGCTGGTAGGTACCACTCATAGCTCCGAAGATGTGGGTGGAGGGGGATAATGCCCTGGGGCCCTTGTTAACGTAGAATGATGTACCCAGAAGGGAGCACTGCTTCTTTCCTGCTGTCGAAGGCGGAGGGGAAGGACGCTCCTGCTGAAGGGGGAGAATAGGTGAAGTGGAAGCCTTTGTGTCATTGCTTAATGTTGTACAGATGAGGACTCCCTCTCTGTCTCTGGTTCCCCTTCCAGCTTGGAAGGGGACCTTGGGGAAAGCGACTGGCTCTGATTGAAAGAAGATAAGGGATCCTTCCAGCAAGAGATAGCAGGGCTAAAAGGGAACCCTTAGTTCCCAGCTGGATGTAGCAAAACTACCCTTTAATTTAAACACATTCCACCCGGTTAGGTGCTTTAAGTCCGATCATGTCAGAAGAAAGCTAGAAATCTTGCACATGACAGCAATTTGGCTGGGCCCGATCATGCAGCAATCCTTGCTGTTCTTCTGAAAACTGAAGGACATTATCTGAATTCTGACTTCAAATGACTGTCTTCTCCTTTGCCTAAGGCCGGACGGTTTAACATCTTTGAGCTGCTGGTGTACACCGGGTCTGTGCTGTCCTACTTTGGCTTGGTAAGAGATTTATTTCCTGTCCTGACAGAGCTGCTTCTGGAGACGCAGTCTCATTAAGAAAATGGAATCACTGCTCACTTTTGTTTTGCATGCAGGCTCAGTTCATTATTGATTTTCTTATTACTTCATACACTTATCCCTGCTGCAAAACATCAATCAAAGAATATTACTTCAGGAAGAAGTGCGAGTCTGCTCTGGGACCAAAATGGGTAAGGAATGCAATTAGCTGCTTAAGTAGTAGGAAAATCCAGTGTATTGGGCCCTTCATTGGGTCCTTCATCAGCTCTCTGTGGATTTGTTCCCAATACACCGCTGCTCTGAGTTCTCCTGCCCCCAGTGTGCACCTTGCAGGCATGGGTTGCATGCTGGGGAGTGGTGTGAGTGCAGGAGCGGATCTTAGCATTGCAGGACTCCTAGCAGCTACACAGAAAAGTGACCAGTGGGTCCCTATAGTTACCTCCTCCCCCAGCCAGCCATTACTCAAAATCCTTCAGGCACAGGGCCTCTGGGAAACCCCACAGAGCTATGCTCTGCAGTGCATAGAGGTTGTGGACCCAGGGCCTGAGCCCCCTGAATTCTGCTCCTCTGCACTTGTCTTCTACAACCAGGACTTTTGACAGCTGCAGGGGGTGAGGCAGGTTTCACCCTTTAGAGAGCAGTGGAAAGATGCTGTAGAACAGTGGTTCTAAACCTGTTTACCAGCGTGGGCCACATATGCAGCTGTCTCTGTGTTATGTGGGCACATGCACACAATATATGCACTACCTGTATGGGCCTGAGGATGTCACATGGGCTGCAGCTGTGTAACGATTGGGTCGCGGGTTGAAAACCACTGCTGTAGAGAGAGGGTTGTCTCTAATTAGAGCATTCCTCAGAGCTTCTCTCCCCTGTAACGGTTAAGGGCATTTGCATGAAAATAGTTTTGTTTCTCTCAAGTCCATCAGCTCCAGTCCACATTCAGCTCCAGCGTCTCCTCTCTAGAAATTCATGCTGCACACATCACTGTGGCATCCTGAACAGCTGAGCTTCTAGGCTGGGATTTCAAAGGAGTCTAAGGGAGTGAGGTGCTCAAAAGCTCCCTCTAAAGCTTTGTACAATCCAACTCCCACCAACAGCTCCTCTCTTCCTGCTCCCTGGACTCCACCCCAGGCTAACACCTGACTGTTCCTTTTGTCTCCCTCACCTGGTCCTATGCCTGGCCTTCCTCCATGCTGCTCCCTATGCCAGGAACAGCCTCTCCCAATGAACATGTGCCTTCAGAGAGATTTTTATCTGAGTAAGGAATGCAGGATCTGGGCCTTGAGGACCCTAGTTATGGGTCAAATCAATACAGTGTAAATCCCAAGTATTCTAAATAAATACTCCAGCTGAGGATGTTAATATCTTTTATTGCACAGACCCTGATGTACGTGTCATATGTTGATGACCCACACATTATTCTGGTAGACAAACCGTTGAGGACGAGTCTGCAGAACATTAAAGGCGAGATTGTTCAGGTAAGTTCAAGCTTTTACTGTTATGACTTTTTGTGGATTTATTTCCTGAGTGACTTGAGTTTTTTCTCCCTGAGTTTCTAGCTAGGTTTTGGAAGGGCCACACTTGTGATCCTGGAGCTGACTGTTCGGAACTCGAGACTGTTTTTTCTAGATTAAAACTAGAAGATCTCATTACTGCCCTGTGGGTGTCCTTAGGCCTGCATGAAACAACTTGGGGTACATCTACACTGCAATAACAAACCCGTAGCACAGAGTCTCAGAGCCTGGATCAATTGGCTCCGGGTTGTGGGGATAAAAATAGCAATGTCGACTTTCAGGCTCAGGCTGGAGCCCAGGCTTCGAGACTCTCCCCCCTTGGGGGGTTTCAGAGCCTGGGCTCCAGCCTGAACATCTACACAGCAGGTTTTAGCCCCGCAGCCTGAGTCCTGTGAGCCTGAGTCAGCTGACCCGAACCAGCCCCCGGCCATGCCACAGATCTTTGATTGCAGTGTTCAGATACCCTTGGTAATTCTCAGTCCAGCTCCCGTTGGATGGGTGTTCCCATCACAAAAAGACAACCAGTCTAATTGGCACTCATTGGGTCCCTTCTTGGCTGTCTCTGGGGACAAGCCAAGGACCATGAAATGGACTTACCCATGCAGTGCTAAAGGTACATAATACAAGGATTAAGGAACGTGGACGGGGAAGCATAGGGGAAGTTTCTATTGCAATTGCCTGTGCTGTGACCCCTGTGGCGATAAAGGACTCCTGTCACCCACTGTCTCTCTCTCATATCCTGGGACCGACACAGCTACAATTACACTGCGTAGAATCCTGTCACTAACACAGTCGATCACTGGGTATAAACTTACAAAACAGATTTAAAAGAATATTCTGATCCTGACTCATACAGAGTGGGAATGAACCAACAGCTCCCTGGGTTTGTTCCGCATTAGAATTCAAAGCCAGTAACCATTTGTTTTCCTGATCTGCCTCTTTACTGTTATATTATACTGTCCTGCTGCATTAAATGTGAAGCTTGAGCAGTTAGAATACAGAGGGATTCTCTAATGGCAGGTAAGTGCAGATGTAGACACAGAGTAAAGAAAATGCTACATTTTCTCATTTTCACTCTGACTCCTCTGATTATGTGTTTGGGAATTTTAGTTGCAGAAAGACACTGGGGCTTTTACTGACACGACCAAGCTCACAGCACACTATCCCATTCGGGTCCCGGCCTTAGCAAAAGCCCATGAGATGCAACCCCTTAAAAGCGAAGGACAAACTTCTCCATCCCATGACCGCCCGGCTTGGTGCTGCTGTGGGAAATGCTACCAAACAGAGTCTTTCCGGGAGCAGCTCTGCTGCCGAAGAAAAGAAGGGTCATGCATTACAACCTCGGCTTTGTTCGAGCAGCTCGTTCTTTCCAGATCGGCACTGGAGTTTATCCTGCTTTACAAAGAGCCCTTGTTGGACTTGAATACTGAGACCCTCAATAACCAGCTTCGTCACTGTGCTTACAGACAGTATATTCACTGGCGTTTTGGCTCTGCTGAGGTGGAGAGCTGTGCCCTGATACCAAGTTGCTGCAGGTGGAAGATCAGAGAAACTTATCCCAGTGAGGATGGCAAGTATACTGGTTTAGAGAGGAAGAATTAACCTTTATTAAGCCTCTATTATATAGCTCCAGAACCACAATTAAGCTTATTTCTCAGTTAAACCTCCTTAATTTCTCTTTGGAGACATTTTAAAAAGAAAAGCATGCGATTTCTCAGAATCCACTGCTGTATGACTAAAAGAAAAGGAGTACTTGTGGCATATCAAAGCTTACAGAGGGAGGTATAAGCAGTCAGTGGAGATGGTGTAAATTAAAGCTGGACTTCCTAGCTGTAAACCTAGCACGAAGTGGGCTCCACAACATTGACCACTCAAAGAAAAGGAGTACTTGTGGCCCCTTAGAGACTAACCAATTTATTTGAGCATGAGCTTTCGTGAGCTACAGCTCACTTCATCGGATGCATCCGATGAAGTGAGCTGTAGCTCACGAAAGCTCATGCTCAAATAAATTGGTTAGTCTCTAAGGGGCCACAAGTACTCCTTTTCTTTTTGCGAATACAGACTAACATGGCTGTTACTCTGAAACCTGAATGCTGTATGACTGAATTCCATATTCTGTGTTGTTAATGAGGCAGTATTAGCTAATGATTAGTGCAGGAGACTGGGAGTCAGGAGTCTTGGGTTCTGTTCCTCACTCTACCGCTGACTCTCTCTGTGACCTTGGAAAGGGCACATAGCCCATAGCTTTCAAATGTTGCCCCAATTTTTGCATGCCCAGTATTGGACACTTTGGCCCTGATGTTCAGAGGTGCTGAGTACTCAACACTCCAACTGAAAACTAGACTGCACCAACAGCTACCTCAAGGTGGGAACCCAAACATTCAGGGAATCAAAATTAGAGGACTTTTGAAAATTGACTCTTAACCTCTTGGTGTCTCAGTTTCTCCATCTGTCAAATGTGGATAATACCTACCTACCTTAGTAAAAGGCTTTTGAGCCTTGGATGACAGATGCTTTAGAACTACAGAGTATTATTGTTTGCGCGGGCTTGGTCCTGCAAATCGTTATTCATGTGAGTAGTCTGTAGTCACACAAGCAGTCCTAAGGTCCAGAGAACGGGCTTGCAGGATTGAGCCCCTTGAGGGTGTTTTTCATGGACAAAGTCATGCACAAACTGTGTAGCATTTCAGATTCTTTCAGCTTTGTGGTTGATCAAATCTGTTACCAGAAGAAACCAGCTCATTTTGGGTGATGTTAGTAACACAGGAAAAGCATTTTTAAGTGTACGGTTATTATGTAGATAGTGCCCCTTTAAGCATAAACTCAGGAATTGAAACGGACAACATTTTTACTGCCTTTCTACCTTATTTTCAGAAGCCTTGGATCAAATTCTGCCATTATTTACTCTGGTGCTAATTCATGATGTCATCATGATGGTATCTGTGTAACTGAAAGCAGGCTTTAGCCTCATGTTTGCTCTGAGTTTATGTAGGGCCACATACCATCCAGGATGCTCAATTAGCTTCCCAGTGAGTTGCATAGCAGTATGCAGTCTCAGGGCAGTATCTATAGCCCCGAGACTGCAAATAAATGATGGATTAACCTGTGCATTGATTCCTATTTTTTCTTGTGCTTCTACTTTATCTCACTAGCTATTTTTGCAGCAATGCGGCAAGATGGATATTAATTAGTATATACTGGGCCACTTTCATCTCCGCATAATTGTAAATCTGCACAACTGCATAGTTTGTGGTTTTAATTTTGTACATATTTTTAAAACTGGGGTCTGAAAAAATATTCCAGCTCTAGTTGCATTTCCAATGGTAGTATGTATTAATTGCACTGACATTCATGTGACAGCATCTCATTGTAGCTATGGATTGGGACTGTGTAATTTTTGTAATGTTGGCACTGCACTAATATATATTGGTTAGCACACTTTCTTTGCTTTTGGAAATACTGTACTGATGTTGGAACCTGGAGTGTTTGTTTAGGACTCTCTTTTTAAGGACCTGTTAAATACCTTCTTATGCTCATTTTGCAAGCCTTCTTATCTTGCAGTGAGTTTTGACTGAATTTTTCCATTAATAAATACAGTGTTTAATCAATCCATAGCAGAGTGGAAGACTCTCCTTTAGTGATTTTGCAGTAGGATATACATTAAATCGCCAGCCAATCCCCTTCCCCTCTAATGATTTGTTGGACTATTATGAAAATCATTATTATTGCTACCCATATTTCTAAAACCCCATTGCCATAGTATCTGGGCAGCCAAGTGTCAGCAGGCATGTGAGCTCTTTGTTGCTGTCCTTAGGAAATTGTGGCCATTTTTAAAGTTCATAGAAGATTAGGGTTGGAAGAGACCTCAGTCATCTAGTCATCATAGCTTGGTATCACACAGCAGTTCAATTGTTTGAAACATCTGATCAATTTTGTAAGAGAGAAAAAATACAGTAAAGGATTTGATCTAAGGGAAGAGATAATTGGTGAGCTTAAGACATCTTGGGCCCAGTTCTGTCCTCACTGTAAATGGGAGCAGTATTGGGGCCTTGCTAGATGTATGTAACTATTGGGCCAGATTCTGCTCTCACTTTCCTCCCAGCAACCCTCTGACTTCAGTGTGCTGGCACAGGGTAACTGTAGGGAAAATCTGACCCGGGGGTGGGTGGGAGGAGCGCGGCGGTGGTGGTAGGGGATGTATACCAGAGGCCATTATGTCTTGGCTGTTTAAAACTCCATCAGCAGTAGTTGAAAACTGAAGACACGGCTCCATGAATTTTCTGGCCTGATTTTCTACAACCACCTCCTCCCCCACTTACTCTTTCAACCTTTGATACTGCCCTGGCCATCTGACCCTAGTGTGTAGTGGGGTCCCTTTTGCCTTCATTGTGAGCTTCCCTTTTGCATTTATTTCCATGCTTGTGGTTGCTAAACATCAGGGGCTTCTAGCTGAGTCTTTTCTTGGGGTAGGAGGTGGCCATAACATGATACAAATTCCTCAGAAAAATTACCTGCGCTAAAATACTGATAGTACGCCTAGCATCTGCCTGGCACAAGGGGAGGGCTAGTCCTGATTGAGATCTTTGAGTTAAATAATAATAATTAGAAATTAAGGTCGTAGCCACCATGTTGTCCAGGGTAGGCTCTATGGATTACGGAACGATGATATCAGTCATCCCACAAGTGAAACCCAATTCAACTGAAAAGGAAATGATTTTTGTTCAGACGGATGAGAACTCTTTGTTGTTGTTTGTTAATACAGCTACTTAACTCAAATGCTTGGGATTAAAGTTGTCTGTGTTAAATCAGCGTTGCCACGTTTCGTCATTTTGACGTGAGTCTCACTGTATTCAGTGTTGATCTTAACGTCCCAGCTGCTGGAATCCGAGACCGCCTGGAAAGATCAGTTTTCATGTTTTTTAAAAGTGCATTTCTAGCCTTTGTGCTTGTCGAGAAAAGCTTGAAAACACGTAGTGCCCCCTAAAGGCTCCCAAGCCAGGTGGCAAATTAAGAGGACCCCAAATTTATTATTTTTTAAAAAAATCTTACGATTTTTGAACATGCGGTTGGCAATCCATATCTCCCCCTCCCTTCATCTAAAGGGCTGTGGACAGCAGGGCCGAGACAATTTGTAAGGGGGGGGGGGGGGTGCTGAGCGCCATTGAACCAAACCATAAACCCTGTCTATCATGGGGAAACCGCTTCCAGCCAGGGGGTCCCCCTGCCCCGGAGAGCCCTGGGCTAAACGCCCAACCACCAGAGCAGGATCCTGCCGCAGGGCAGCCGGGAACCCGTGGCGGGGTCAGCACCGGGCCCAGGAACGCCCGCCGGGGGTGGGGCTGGCCCGTGGCGGAGCCGCTCCCATAGCGGGTGCCCGCTCCCTGTCAATCCGGGGCCGGAGGGCGGCGGAGCGGGGCAGTTCCCGGGGCAGTTCCCGAGCCAGGGCTCCGCGGGCGGCGCTGGCCGCGGCGTGTGCAGCAGCTTCCCCGTGCGCCCGGCCTGAGCCCGCGGCCCCCCAGCCGGAGCCATGGCCTCCGGGGCGTGCTGCGGGGTGCTCCGCGGCTTCCTCTTCGAGTACGACACCCCCCGCATCGTGCTGATCAAGAGCCGCAAAGTGGGGCTGGTGAACCGGGCGGTGCAGCTGGCCATCCTGGCCTACGTGATCGGGTGAGCGGGGCCGGCGGGTCCCCCTGCCCCGGGGCTGGCACGGGGAGCAGCCCCCGGTGCGATCCGCTCCCCACTTTGCAGGGATTTTCACTTGTGATGACGCCGTTGGGAAAACAGGAAACCGCCCCCCCCCCCATCCCAGCTGTGTTTTGCAAAGGGGGGATTCCGGGAGAGAGATTTTCCTTCCCCCCCCCCCGCCTGTTGGGGGGCTGCTGACTTGGGCAGGAGGAGGGGGTGGTGCGCAGTGTTCTGGGTCCCCCTGGCCAGCGGTCAAGCAGTGGCTAGAGGCAGTGGGCGCATGGGACAGGTGAGGTTGATACATAGTTGTGTAGCTACGTTTCTACCTTCCTGTCTTCCAGGCCTTTGCACTGGTAGCTGCCTGGGGCAGGGGGCAAGCTTGGCCTCTGCTTGTAACTGCTGCTGATCAGGGTCTCTGGGCGGTAGTGTAATAACACAGTAGCACCCCAGCGCTGCCTCCAAAATATTTGGACTCAATGCTTTGGGTGCCAGGATGCCCAGCTGTCATCTCTCCTTTTTCTTACAACTTGGAAGTCATTTCTTACCTTGCTTCTTCCTGTCTGGTTTCTCACTGTGCTCTTCTACTCTGAGATTTTTTGGCTTTTATCAACTCTTGATTTACCACAGCTCAGTGGTTTTCTCCACAGTCATCTTCCCTGAAGTCCTTTCCCATCTGCCCACTAAATGTAAAGTAGAAGGAAACTTGGCCAATCTGGTTCCTTTTTCAGCTGAACAAATCTCCAAAAATAGAATGGAGAACCTAAGGCAATTAACTTATGGGCCTGATCCAGTCCCATTAAAGCAAATGGAAATACTCCCCTTGACTGTACTGGGAATTCAGTTGGACCCTAAGCTTGTTTGGCTATTGCTAGTGTTTCTGACTTCTGAGATAAGGTAGTTCCTCTTCATGGATCCGATGAAGTGAGCCGTAGCTCACGAAAGCTCATGCTCAAATAAATTGGTTAGTCTCTAAGGTGCCACAAGTCCTCCTTTTCTTTTTGCAAATACAGACTAACACGGCTGCTACTCTGAAACTCTTCATGGATAGTGTCACTTCTAGTGCCGGCTCTATTAATGGGGCTGTCCTTAGCTGTCAAGGCTCAGACAGCCAGGGAAGCCATCAGGCCTTTGAAAGGATCTTAAACTGGATTTCCCTAAATAAGTGGCTCAGCCCCATAAGACTGCTTCCAAGTGACAGAGCAGAAACTCTCTAGAGAGAATGGCCTTGTGGCTGTTCTACATTGTGGGATTTCTGAAGTGTTGTGAATGGAATGCCCCAGGCTCCTCTCAGGGGCTTGAATTTTCAATACGTGACTCATAGGCTAAACTGTTGTGCCTTGTACAAGGACGGAAGCATATCGGGCTGAGGGATAGTCGTCTGCCTTTTACAGTTTGAGAGTCTTGGGAATTGGTACTAGAGGCTGGACCAGGACATCACTATACAGGATGATCTTGTGTGTTTGTCTTCAGTGTGGCTTGTTATATGGCTTTTTCTAGCCGAGAACTTCTTGGTCACTTCCTCCTCTCACATGTTTGAGACACTTCCTGTCCCCGAACTAGTCTTCATACTAATCAGTAACAGTATTGCCAACCTCCAGTGCTCAAAAATCATGGGTGAATTCCCACAGATCATAAGATTGGTTTGGAAATAGCGAAGTTTTTAAAACAACAAAATGTGGGCTCTTCATTTGGTTTCTGGGTTTTTTTTTTTTTTAGCTCTTAGAGTTATGGTTTCAAACTTTTCTCTATAACCATAAGGGCTAGACTTTTTTCTAAAATTCTGAGATTCTCAGGTAATCACATAAGTCCAGGAGCTGGGGTTTTAAGAAACACCAAATATCCTGTGGCTCATGACAAAAGTTGGCAACATTAAAGTTCTCAAAAACAGCAAGAGAGATCAAATATCCTGTTACCGTGATATACTAAGGTAATGTCAATATTACTTTAAATGGCCTCCCTTAAGGAAAATCAATGGGCCTGACTTTTCCATTGCCTCGTGCATTCACTTACCCTGTGAGAGCATCCATGCGTGTGTGAGTGATCTCCACCCAGTTACACCGGTGGTAGACTCTCAGTTGGTAGCAGTCCCTTTTTATACCACCTTTCATGGTTGGAAACACAGCAAGGCCCAATACAGGGAGAATAGGCCCCTACATTGTTGAATGGAGCTAATGGACTGGTCAAACCAGGTAGTGACATCTGTAGATGGGAATGTGGTGGCGGAGCTATAAAAGGTAAATGCAAGCTGTTCACTGTGGCTCTCCTAAAATAGATGATCCTGTCAGATGACAAAAGCCCACGGGACCTTTGTGTATTGTCAGCCTGATTCTGCTCCCACCCTTACTGGTGAAAGCATGAGTAACCCACTGATGTCATGATACCAGTGTTAGTAAGAGCTGAATTGGGGATGGGGCTTGTGTAGATACAAAATCCCACAAGTGTCTGCTGTTCTCTGCTTCAGTCTTTGCAGCTCTATTGTAGCTGATACACTCAAGATCAAATGAGAATCTGTCATTTCCACCTCAAATAATGCCTGGTGTCTGCCAGATCACCCTTCCCATTTCAGATCCTAGCCCTAAAACTTACCTGTGAAAACTTCCAGTGCAAACCCAATGCTGAAGGATCCAGTAATTATATAATACCCCACAAAGCAGATGACCGGGGGGAGGGGAATTAGTGTTTACAGTGTCTTCCAGGTGTTTGAGAAGTATTAATTAAGGCTATCCTCCCATGCAAAGTGGGTCCCAATCACCCCCATTTTACAGATGGGGGTGGGACGGAAATGAGTCAGATCTTAAGAGACTCTCCCAAAGTCACCTAAGGAGCTAGAAATAGAACCCAGGCCTCCAAGCTCCCAGTCACACTGCTGGGATCTCTAAAGGTGTCTCAGTGCAGGAGCCATGATGAACTTTCCTTCTTTTGCAGCTGGGTCTTTGTGTGGGAAAAGGGCTACCAGGAAACAGACTCTGTGGTCAGTTCTGTTACCGCCAAAGTGAAGGGAATAACCATGACGAACACGTCGGAGTTGGGACTCCGGGTCTGGGATGTGGCTGATTATGTTATTCCACCTCAGGTATGGGTTTTTCTGGCACAGTTTAATAGGGCTTTGCCAGCCAACAGAAGCCTCTCAGACAGGTGTTCCTCAACTCTGGAACGCCTATTCTGTGTGGCTGCAGGAAGACTACTGGGCTGAAAAAGGCATCTGGCTATTAGCCTGGTTTCCAGAGGCACTAAACATCTGCAACTCCCACTGACTTCATCAGGGTTTAGGAGTGCTCAGCATTATTGTGTCTGGAACATGAAGCTTGTCTGTTTGTATGGTGGTAGGGAGGGGAATACCACAGCCTCTAGATAAAGCTGCAGTAATGACCCAGGTATTGTCTCTCCTACTTCTGTATTGCTTTGTTTGTTTAAAAGCCAATAGACCAAAGTCAAACACTGTATTCTCTCGGTCCTAACGATTCTCACATAACCTGATCTGGAACTAAACAAGAACTGTTGGAAGTTACTGATTGGCAGAGGAGAGCCTGGTGCCATTTTGATACTTGTATGTCCTGAGTGGGCAGTACTTGGCCTTCAACCCTCACTGGACACCTACAGCCTGCCAGCCTTTGAATGACTCTGTCCACAGCAAACCTGGTGGAGAAGTGCCAGAGTCTTCTTAGTGGGAACTTGCCAATTAAGGAATTAAGACTAGTTTGCTGGTGCATGAACAAGGAAAAGAATCTGAGCCCTTTGGGCTTGTGCCCTAAAGAAATACAGGTGGGAGATCAATACCTGCAGGTGGAAAAGTACAAAAGCACTAAGGCTGGAAAAGTCTCCACGCTGAGATTAAAAACACAAGATCTAATCATGCCAGCTAATCCATGCAGTTGGGTGCTTTCTGTCTGCCCCAGGACCCATTGAAGTCAATGGTGCTCCATTCAGGAGCATTGTGCCTGTGGGGATCAGCTTGCAGGACTGGGATCTCACTTGGCAGTGGCCAGCGGTCCTCTTTGCACACTCGTATGAAAATCCCAGCATGTTCTAGCAGTAGCTGCCTCTGGCTTTGTCACAGATCTACTTACTAATGCTAACTTCCCTCGAGGTGTTCAGCCTGGTGCTAAACTAATATCTAGGGCAGTGGTTCTCAACCTATTTACCATTGCTGGCTGCTTATGCAGCTCTCTCTGTGTTTTGTGGGCCGCATCCACATAATATATATACTACCTGTATGGCTTTGAGGATGTCACAAGGGCCGCAGCTGTGTACTGAATGGGCTGCAAGCGGCCCATGGGCCACAGGTTGAGAAGCACAGGTCTAGGGTGACATGTCATCTCCTTGTTTTATTACACCTGATTTGAGCTGTTGCTTCAACTGCTGGGAGCTTTGTCTGTGCCCCACTAGAGCTGCCCCATTGGAGAGTTATGGAGGGGTCCTTTAATTTTCATAGTGTGGATTCAGTGAACCTCTGGACAGAGTACCATAGAAAGGGTTATACTCCTTCAGGACTGCTCTGTCCTAAGGAAGGAGGATTCCTCGAGTGACGCCCGAGAGACCCTAGTACAATAGCAGTGCGCCTGGTCTCTCCAAACACGAGCTTTCTATGGTGCCACCTGAGAACCTGTTACTGCAGATCAAGTGAGGCTCTAGCTTTCCAGAGCGTCGCTGCTTAGAACTAACCCATACATCTCATTGGTTGTCTTGCCTATTTAGGGGGAGAATATGTTGTTCATCATGACAAACCTGATAATCACACTGAATCAGACACAAGGCTATTGTCCTGAGGTAGGTATGGTAACTGGCCGTCTCCTTTATACTTTATCTCCGGAAGAGTCTAATCCTTAACTGGGAGGAGTAACTCCCATCTCGTGGCAGGGAGGGAAGGGGGTGCGTGGCAAGTCATCTTTGTGGCTTATGGTAACAATTCTTCCCTTTAGCTTCCAGATAAGACAACTGTGTGTAATTCCAGTGAGGACTGTTCTGCAGGATACATAGGCACCCACAGCAATGGTACGAAACCAATGTACACTGTATTGGGACGCCTAAGAGGTTGGGTTGCCGCTAGTGCAGGAGGGGAAGCGGTGATTAGTCCGGTTACCTTGGCTTTTACTCTGGAAGCAAAGTGTAACACGGCCTTAGAAGAGGGGCATCACGAAAGGGAGCACAAAGGGTTAAACATTCTAGTACCACATGAAAATAGAAACGTTACTGATCTGACCTCCATGTAGTTTATCGGCAGCTGTAAACCTCTGCTGTCCTAGTCATTTCCCTCTGGTCAAGTTAGATTTCCTCATGCACAGCCTTTCCTTTCAGAAGTCAGCAGCCACTTACTGGGTTAACAAGGCGCCATTTAAATGGAGGGAGGTTCTAATGCTTCATGTCCCATTTAAACAGAAAAATACCCTGGAATTTTCTTCTAGCCCTTCAATTGCAGTGTATCAGACTGATGTTCTAAAATGACACCATAACTAGTCAGATGCTTGCCGTTATGGGCTGGGATGGAGACATGGCTGGTGGTTTGGGGTTGGCTCTTTCACGATTTTGGCAGAGTTTCTCAAGGACAGTATTGAGGTTTCCAGGTTAGACATACCATAGGAACAAGCTGTTACCAGATTCTCACCGAGTGGCAAAGAAGCCAGTTTTCTTGCTGACCCTCGTTTGAGGCCGCCCACTGCTAAGGTTAACTTTGCTGCGGTGGGCGGTAGCCCTCCCCTAACAGGCAGGTTTACACTGGTGCTACCTCTAACTAGTGTAGTTATCAGGGAATTCTGTTGCTGAACTTTCCCCGGGATGTGGGGATCAACCAAGCAGCCTGTTAACCCTCATCACCCTGTCAGGCGCTATGTGTCAGAGCCTGTGTGAATGTTGCCATGCTGCTCTCGATGCCCCGGTATTAACTCTGTTCCCATGTCCTTCCAGGAGTCCAGACTGGGAAGTGTAGGAAATACTCCACCTCTGTCAAAACCTGTGAGATCTATGCGTGGTGTCCTGTGGAGAATGACACACATTTACCTAAGTGAGTGCTTCTGTTGCCACAGGCTATTTACCACTGATGGGTGGGCTGGCGGCCCGTGCGGTCCTGAACCGGAGGGGTGGTCTCTGGGCGGTGGCTCTTACTGTGTGGTCCAGTCGAGGAAGTTTGAAAACCACGGCTGAAGGAGGCTTTGGTGCACGTGTAGCAATGGCAGTAAGCAGGAATGGGGGAGGGCTGAGAGCAGTCACTGCCTACTGAAAAGAACTGTCAAATAAGCCTTGCGGCATCTCAGAACTGCATGGCACAGGGTGTCACCTGCCGGCACAGTGGGATGCTTCCTCAAGTTGGATGACTAACATAGAAAGCAATGGCTGACACTAACTTCCAGCTGGGTGGCAATGCAAGCCAGAGGTGAGAGTCCTGGCTGGCATCTGAGAGCGTGCACCAAAGAGAATAGCGTAGCATGGGAAGCAATGGGACCATTGTAGCTGTCCTGAGTACAAACCCACTGATACCTCGGAGGTACATATTTGGGGGCTGCTAGCACATGCTACTGTGGCTACTCTACAGTTCTAGCGTACTGGGTCGATGAGAGCTAGCACAAGTACGTCCGCTCCCGTGGGGAATCACGCTCCTAGCTCCTAAGTGTGGACATAGCCTTAGTTGTGTCCTGGCCACTTCCCACAGTGCACTCTACCGGAACATAAATCTAATACTCATACATCCCCCTATGGAGACTAAGGAGGCTAATTCAGGGCTGCTAGAAAAGTAAACCAGGAGTTAAACCCCTGACACCTATAATCCCCTATTTCACACTCACTCCCTCTGTCTAGCTTTATAACATGCACGCTGCTATAGGAGCTTTGGGCAAGTGCCTCAACTCCTCGGTCTCAGTTTACCCGCCAGTAAGGTGGGTGTAATTTACCTGCCTTACAAGGGTGTTGGATAACTGGCTTCACAAAACGCTCTGAGATGCAAAGGTGAATGTTTTTAATCTTCCAATTGTTTCATAGGCCGGCTTTCCTAAAGGATGCTGAGAACTTCACCATTTTGGTGAAGAACAATATCTGGTATCCCAAGTTCAACTTCACCAGGTAAGTATCCCATAGAGGTGCTAGTGTGATCACTTGGGCTAGTACTTCTCTGCTGAACAGGATGTTGAGCAGCTCGGTGAGCTGCTGCCTGGGGTGGAGGAGGATGTGCAGGTGCAAAGGGCTTCTGTAACACGTCCCTTGTCTCTTCCGTGCCACTTCAGGCGAAACATTCTGCCCTCTATCAGTACCACTTACCTCAAGACCTGCATTTACCACCCTAAAACGGATCCCTTCTGCCCAATCTTCCGGGTCCGTCAAATAGTTGAAGCTGCAGGGCAGAATTTTCAAGAGATGGCTGTTGAGGTATGTGGAAATTCTATCCTCACTTAGGCCAGATTCACATTATAAACTTACATGGGTATGTCATTCTGTTATCCACCCCCCTGAGTGACGCAGTTATACCGACCTGACCCCCGGGGGCGACAGCGCTCTGTCGACAGCAGGGCTTCTCCCCCTGCCATAGCTACACCCCTCAGAGGTGGATTAACTATGCCAGCGGGAGAAGCTCTCCTGTCAGGGGAGTAGCGTCTTCACTGAAGGGCTACAGGGCACAGCTGCAGCGTTTGAAGTGTAGACCTGCCCTTTCGTGTTTGTTCAATGAAAGGATGCAGCAAAGGAACAGGAGCCATTGTTACACAGCCTCTTCAACTGCCTCAGAACATAAAACTTGCTTATCTGCTGGCAGCCATCTAATCCGTAGCAAAACGGCTGCTGGCTGGAAGGCTTTTTTTTCCAGGGCCATAGGGAATATTTTAACTTTACTGTAGAGTAAATATTTAACTTCCCTTCTGTTTGTCTTGCGTGGCACTCATGAAAATGCTTATGCAGTATTATGAACAAGGTCTCATTCAGCGTAGGTGAAGTAAAGCTGGTAAACAATTCAGCTGGCCTGTGGGACTGTGCACCACTTACAGTGGAAAGGGTTTGTGTGCCTGAGACCGAGTTCTAAAGTCTTGTGTTTTCAGTGAAAGACACCATGTAGAAGTAGTTTTTGGTTGGTTGGTTTTAATAAACTGGATCCTGGTTTCTCTTGCTGATGACTTTTATAAGCTGGAAGGTAGCTGCTTATCCTAGGGGTAGGAAGTTGGGGACACGCAATTCAGGGGTGATGTGCAAGTTTCACATGGGCAAATGTGTGAGCTTAAGTCTCCTGGGGTAACTGCAGTGGGATAAGAAGCAAATCTTGTTGTGTACCTAGAAATCAGATATGCTCTTCCCTAAACTAGTGTGTGCTGGTCAACGTGAAGAAATCCCTTTGACAGGTTGGCCAGCAATTTTAAGCTACCCCCGCTGATACATTCTCTCTGTGTGCACCTTTTTGTTTGTTTGCACTGTGCAGGGTGGAGTAATGGGAGTGCAGATCAACTGGAACTGTGACCTTGACAAACCTGCTTATTACTGTGTGCCAAAATACACCTTCCGTCGCCTTGACAACAAGGATGCCAACCACAGGGTCTCACCTGGATATAATTTCAGGTACACGGTTGAGTAACGGAGTCTGTGGTGTCGTCATGGCTCACTCCACGTTATTAGTACAACTACGTGGGTTCTTGGGAATCAGGTTGTGATGCTTATTCTACCCCAGTTAACGTCATGATCTAGCTACCAAAAACCAATTTGTCTTATGGCCACCCAAGAGTCCCCCTTACCATGGACCAGATCCTCAGCTGCTCTAACTCAGTGTAGCAATGCTGAGGTCAGTGGAGATATGGTGACTTAAATGGCTGGGTCAGAGCCTCAGCTTAACATGCCCTGAATCATGTCTATAGCAGTGCAGCCTATGAAAATCTGGGCAGCCATCCCATCATGTTTCATGGGAGGTTAGAGTGCCCAGAGGATCTGCACATGGGGCAATGAACTCTGGCGTCCCCTATTTAGAGTTTGGGTGAAGGGAGAACTAGCCCACTGGACTGTGTTGGTACAGCTAGATGATGTTGTTTCACTCTGGTTACAAGATGACAACTAAGGCTAGGTCTACACTAGGAGCACTTAGCCAATATAGCTATACCACTATACCGGCAAAGCACTCATGGTGTGGATGCAACTGGGAGAGCTCATGATTTTAAAAAACAAACAAACTGTGGCTTGTTTCAGCTGCATCTCCCTTCCCTCTGTCCATTTTGCCAGTAGAGCTGCATCTACACCAGGGATGTTTAGCGGTACAGCTATAGCAGTGAGATATCACCCCGAGACCTGGCTGGAGGGCCAGCTTAAACCACTGGCAAGAGTGATGTCTGGCTGCCTGCCGTGGTTACAGCACTAACTATAATGTGTGTTGGCTCAAGTTGTGTCCACTGTGTCACTAAGATGACACAACACTCCAGCTAGCGTAGAGGGCATATCTGGTAGAACCTGAAAATTTGTGAATCTTAAATTCTGGCATAAGGTCGACTGCCTAAAGACTATGATGTGACGGCCCGAAGGCTAGTGAAGGCTAAGATTTTTATGCAGAGCTTCTCATGTAAACAGAAGACAGAGTGGTTCATCCAAAGTTTGTCACAGGAGGCTGCTTTGCTGTGGAAAGGTGATAGGATAAGTATGAACAAACACTAAGAAGCCTGCAGGCCTCTACATCCAGCAAACCCCAAAGGCTGTCAAGACCGATTACGCTAGCCTATTTGATTAGAACAGGCTGGTCCAACTATGCAGAGTGTAAACTGCTTCTAGACTTGGCCATTGACACTTACCATTGTACGTGCTTATTATGGAGAAAATGTGTAGCCAAGTAGCAGTCATTCCTCTTCTCTTCCATCCTTTCTTCTCTTTCCACTTGAAGCAGCAAATCACATGGCACAGTAAGTCTGATCTCCCTCTTTCTCCCCTATTTAATGTCTGCATGCAAATAGTATTGCATGAACTGAGAAAATGACTTCTGTGGGTGTAACCTTGTAGCTCCAAGTACTGTCGCGAAGCAAGTCTCATTCAAGTTTGAGTATTCTCTGTTCCCTTCGGCAAATCACATACCTGCAAAAATCCTCTGTCCCTCCCACATCAGACTGTATGTAGCTTGGTGGATCCTTTGGGTGGCTCTGCTATAAACTAAAACCCTCTTGATACTTTCACTCCCACTTTGTCCTGTTGGAAACTAAATTACTCGTCTGAAATGGTCTGACTGCAGCAAGAGGTATCCAAGGTTGGTTATAAAGAGCCGCAGCCACCAAAAGAAATCCAGGAAAGTGACTAGTGGGAACTTAGTTTTACTGTCTTGCTTAACTTCACCATCTCACATGGATTTCCCCTCTTCCACTCCTCCCCTGCCTGTGCTTCAGAACTCTTCTAATTCAGCCACTAACTGCTTCTGTCTAAGGCTCTCTCTCGACTTCTCCTAGATGAATATTGCATGATGTGTGTAATTGTGAACCGCGCATTTTCTGTACTTGTAATAATACAAGCTCATCTGTTCATGGGCCAGTATGAGTAAAATAATGGCAACTGTGGGATCAGGGGTGGAAGAGAAAGCAACCCCTACTTTTTTTTTTTTTTTTAAGCCTCTAAAACACTTGTTCTTCAGGTTTGCAAAATACTACAAGGATGCAAGTGGCACTGACTCGCGGACACTAATTAAGGCTTACGGCATCCGGTTTGATATCATGGTGTTCGGAAAGGTAGCTCTTTGTTTCTTGAATCTCATGGTGTTCGGAAAGGTAGCTCTTTGTTTCTTGAATCTCCTGGCTGACTCCTTTATTAGATTCTAAATGTTTTCAGAGTCTGCAAAAATGCTTATGACTGTCACTTTGTGTCTCTGTTAGGCAGGAAAATTTGATATAATTCCTACAATGATTAACATTGGCTCTGGACTAGCACTGTTTGGAGTGGTAAGTTACACTGTCTTCCCACTGAATGCATCCGATGAAGTGAGCTGTAGCTCATGAAAGCTTATGCTCAAAATAAATTTGTTAGTCTCTAAGGTGCCACACGTCCTCCTTTTATTGAGAGAGACTTTTAAACTAATATCTGTTTGCCTTGAAGTAAGAACAGTTACAAGAGCTCTTTGATCTCAACTAGGCAACAGTCCTGTGTGACATCGTGGTTCTGTACTTCATGAAGAAGAGATATTACTACAGAGAGAAGAAATACAAATACGTAGAAGATTATGAACTGGTAAGCAGCATGGCTGTGTTGTGGTGAGAGTCTTAGTTGCAGCCAAGTTTACCTCCCTCTCCCCACCCCAACGTTGTGGCTTGTCCATGGATACGTGGAAATGATTATCTGCAGCCAGATGACCACTAAGTTAGCTCTATCCAGATACCAAATGCAGAGCCTCATAGATGAGGGGGTAGAGAAGGACAAGGCCTCTCAAAGTCTCCAATTTTATTTGTTGGTGGAACGTAAGCCCCTAGGAACCAGTGTCTGTCCTCCATGAAACAGGATCTTGTTCCTGCTGCAGGGGTGGGAGAAATTTTAACCTGCTCTCGCTGTATTTCAGTCCTGACGGTAACCCCAGGCACCTGCCTCTTGTGAGCAGAAGATGTTGGGGTAAAGACTAATGCTCATCTTCCCCAAACCTTTCCATGGGTGACCTAAGTGTGAGCCTGCCCTGAAAACTGACTTTAAAAAAAGCTATTCCTGTTTATCTGAACCTCACAGGTCAAAGTGTCTGTTTGCAACTGACATTAGCTTCCTACCTACCAGCACCCCAAACAATGCTGGGATCTAGATGTGGGGCTGGGCTGTTCCTAGAATCTCTATTCTCCAAGAGTATGTCTGCTCTCTGCTGCCGTGTTGTCTTCAACAGGGCTTCACACGAGCTGCTCAGGGCAGGATTTTTGCCCTGCAGCTTAAATTTGGTTGGAAATGCTTATGCATCAGCTGGACTCACCTGTCAAAAGCCCCAAATTATTTATCCTTTATCTAATACACACAGGGAGCAGATTTCTTGTGGGAAGATTCCTTTTTTGGCTGACCAGATCAAGGCAGGATTCCAGTGCTGGTCTCCAGAAGTGAGATGCTAGTGTACTACCCTAACCTAGGGTCTGCCCCTTTTGCCCTCGCTGTAAGTGTAATGGCTGTCTACCTTCTGTCAAGGGAGCCAGTGAGACCTATGGAACACAATCATGACCATGGTGGTGCTGCAGCGAATGTTGTTCTGCTTCACGGAAAGACAGTAAGACGAGGCTGCAGCCTTCCCTTCCTGGAACAGGGTTAATCGAGCTGCATTCTCCCTGTGGAAAGAGAAACTTCCCTCATTACTTTACGGCTGACAAACATTGACCACATAAGAGTGCATTCTTGTTCCGTGTCACTGACAAACAAGGGAAAGTTCTGAAGTTGTTACTAGTTGGTTGAATTCTGGCCTCGGTAAACAAACGTACAGATCAGGACTTGTATGCCAAACTTTCATGGAAAGTGTCTCAACAGCTGAGTAAGTTTCCCCTTCCCCCTTAGTTCTCGAGACTAACTTCTTATATCCCCATATCCTCTAGAAAGCCCCCTGGAGGGGCCAGTCACCCAGAGCTACCTCTTTGCTAGGGGCATAGGCAGTTGGGCCAGGATGAGAGGGTTGAGATGAGTGACATTAAGTGGGGGAAGGGTAGTTGCCCTCCCTTGAGGTTACTTGTTGGGGGGAGAGCCAGGCCCCTCTTTGCTGTGGTGAACCTGGTCGCTAGTCTTCCCCTGAGGCCTGGAGAGCATGTAGCTACAGCGTGATGGCAATAAAATGCATTTCTTTCCTGTGAGGGCAAGTCAACAGGTTACCCCTCGTCTATCTGAGCTTCAGGAGCCTCGAGTAGGAGAATGAAGCTCTCTCTGGGTCTCCTGCATTTGAGTAAGTGGCTGATGCATTTATAAAGAGGCTTCTTCTTTTCTGGTCCTCTTAAAATTCAGTGTTTGTAAGGAAGGAAAAGGATGACAATGCTGACAGCACTTTGGAATATTGGCATCTCCACTCATTGTGAACACACAAATTATATTGAATAAACTTTCTTCTAAGTGATTTGGTATGAGGAGAATCCATTCTGTTGTGAACTAAAAGCGAAGCGTGGTCCCTTTTCTTTGAAATGCTGTAGCTGGTGAGGCCAGGGCAGAGCTGAAGCATTTGCACCAGCTAGTGCCACTGTTGGAAAAGCCCTTTTCCTGGCTTGGTGCTAGGGCAGAGCTGTACACAGCCTAGAGGAGGAAGCAGACTCTGACCTCTCCAGCTGTGAACCGAAGGGGGTGGGGGAGGGGAATGGGTGGAGTTATATAACTCACCCTTCCACAGCAGGATTTGTACTTTGTCCTATTAGTAGCTATGATTTATCCAGTGGAAAGATGTAAGGACTAGTGTCATTGCATCCTTGTCCATGCCCCAGGAGCTGCAGCCTACCCCTGTTCTCCTTCCCTGCCACACTCCTAAACGTCAACACTTAACAGCATAGCCACTGTACATAGCTTAGAGTGGCCTGTCTTAGATGCCAGGAGAACAGGTTTGGGGGGGTTGAAAATCAGGCTTTCACAGGAAACCCAGCTGTATTTAAGTACAGCAGGTAGCCCCTCCTAAACCTCATCTGAAAGTCACTACATTCTTCCATTGACATGGTTAGAACTACATCTGGAGAAACAGGGCCACCTTGCAGACAGGGCCAAGCTCTGTTATTGGGCTTTTTGCAGCATGCTGTCCTCAGCAGGCTGAATACTGTAAGAAACGGAAGTAGTAGACTGAATATTTTTCCAGCAGTGGAAAAGTTTTCCCAAAAGAAGTGTCAGAAGCTGCCCTCCATTAGCACACAATCAACCAAAACAGGAGCAGTAGGAACAATCTGGCTTGGGGAGGGCTGCTCTAATTTCGTCCACTTAAGTTGCACACTCAAGCTGAAGCCCAGTCCACCCTGAAGATCTTTCCCTAGCCTCCCATGCAACTACGCCGAGACAGTTGCATCCAACCAATGGCAGTTGGTCTGCAGTAATACTCCCCCCACGGCTAACACAGTCATCATGGTCTCTTCCCCTTGCCCCTATTAAGAACTCTCCATCTCATGTAGCAGAATGAATGATTAAGATCTCGACCGTGCTAGCAGGTTCCTGCTGTTTCACCATTTCTCTAATGCAGGATAAAGTTCTGTGGGTCAAGCAGAATAAAAGTTCTCCAATCAACGAGCTCACTGGGGGTTGACGGTTGCAGGCTATTTATTTCAATTTGTACAGAGAAGTGTGAACATCTGTGGAAAAACACCTACATTTCTTTTATTAGTTAATATAATTTAAGTGATAAATACATAGTATTTAAACTTTATACACTTGAAGTAAAATGCATAGTAAGTAGGGATAGGAGTAAAACAAGCCGTAGGCATTAAACAACAGTATAAAAGTCAGCAATATCACAGGACTTTGAAACACCAGATTCCTTATCCAGTAGATAATCGGAAACCACCATCCAAGAGCAGCTTTACTACTGCAATTTCAGAGCCACGTGGCTCCTCAGTCAGCCACAATTTATGGCCAGTGTTGGGTTTTTTTTGTTTTTTTTTTGTTTTTAAAAGGAGTTTCAAGGGGAAAACTAGCCACAGCCCAGTTCGAAGGCACAGGTAAAAGGCTTACTTCACTACAAAAAAAGGTAGCTTGACTAGTAAAGGACAGTAGGTACAAAACTGAACAGGTTTGTATATATAGTTTCTCTAATGGCTCATGCATTTAGATAACAGATCTTCTGCACACTTTGTACACTTTATATTTTGACAAGGAAGCCCACATAAAACAAAGAGCTTAATTCAGAGAAGTATATTGGGCAGAGAGGTCAGGCTGGAGACTGTTACTCAGACATGGAGCTGGGTGTAGCAGGAAAATAAATTCCTTGGGGAGTTTGCTTGAGGAAGCTCTTAGGTTTTGGATGCTTAAGAGTCAAAGGTCAATGTCCATAAACTGTTCTACAGCTAATCTCTGGTGCCTAGATACTATGCGGATAGGTACCGAAGACCTGCGCTTGTTTTAGAATATGCATTGCACCTCTCAGGCCCCTGATCGCTCCTGTTTTGTAAATTAAGCTTTAATGATATCAAATGGCATGTACCAAATCATTAATGTAAATGGAAAAATTCCACACTATATCTCCATGCCGCTCACAGACCTTAAACAAAAACACGATACGCAAACTACTCAGCAAGAACAATGAAAGAATTTTCTTTTAAGCATTTAGATGCATTTTTTGCAAAACAACAAACCCATTTACAAGCGCAGGAAACCAACTGGCAACTCTTTATCAGATCTGTATTTCCACAAAGGAAATAAAATTGGGGAAAAGAGGAAGGAGAAATTTTGAAGCTTGAGTTTACTTTGGTATTCCTCTTGGTATTAAGAAGCAAAGACACAGAGCAATCAATAGCAGTTCACAGCTTCAAATTAAGCAATAGGAAGAACTGAGTGTCCTTTTCTCTGCTGCGGATTCATTGTTTCTGCTCCTAAAACATTTACTGAAGTTGTGGTTCTTATATGAAACATGTCATCAGCTTTGGAAAGAAGATGACTGTACCATTCCAGTACCAATTTGGGAATACAGGGAATCTTGGATTATTGGGACCCAGAAGGCTTTGCCAACTATACAGGCTATTATGCGAAAGGGAACTTGCATAAGTGGACTTTTCTTGCTAATTACCAAATTAACTTCTTAACTCTTAAATAAAGGTCTGTCATTTCTAGGGTGATGGGATACTGTACCAGGTCAGAACGTAGCACCAACACATCCTGCCTCTTGCAGTGTCCACTAACTGATGCTTCAGAGGAAGGCAAGAACACAACCACCTCATAATGGCTCTGGCCCAATAAGCCAGCTGTAGGGTAGAGGTTGGGGAAATCAAAATAATACTGGACACTTCTATAGTGCCTTCCATGCAGGATAAAGAATTCAGCCTCATAAGCCCCTTACATGGTAGGGAAGTTTCATTCTCCCAGTTGCACAGGCAGATTAAGTGATTTGCCCAAGGTCCCACACCAAGTCAGTGGGAGGGCTGAGAAAAGAATCAGCTCTCCCACCTTTCAGTGCTATGCTTTATCCACAGGACTATCCCACCTATTTTGACCCTTCCCAATCACAAGGAGAATCTCATCCCCACTCATCTACATTCATGATTACCTCAGTTATTCTGCTCAAGATACTAACAGAGCATGCATTATCTGAAAATCTAATGTAGAAGCCAGAATCCCACCACTTGCTGTTTAGATTCTAACAGCACCGCAAAATCATTCCGAAGCAATCTCAGGGATGATGAACATGCTCTTAGTACGGAGTAATCCCTAAACTAGATGTGCATTTAAATTACTGTAGTCTGCTAACTAGCCTCTGATCCACAGGGATTTACAAACTATTGGCTACTAGTTTGCAGAAATATCTAGCCCCAAAATCCAAATTAAGAGTTTGAAAAAAATAATGCTTCTTTGAAAAGTTACCAGCTAATCTAAATATTTCAATAAGATCTTAAATCCTAAATGAGCCCTAAGTCTATTTAGATACTTACAAATAGCATAAATTGTTTTTTTAAATTGTATCAAACCATGTAATGTACATGGAAGTGAAGGATTTTACCCTGAATTTAACATGTAACTATATATTTACCGAGCTCAAGTAAAAGATTTAGAAACATTAGTGCTTCTTTTGCCATTCAAAATAGGAGTTCAGCTTCCCCCAGCAATACAGGATTTAACTCCTAACACAAAACGCCCATTGCTGTAAGAGTTCAGACCAAACTTCAAGCCCTTAGATACATTTTCCATCTGTACCCTGAATACTTGGCCCAGCTAGTGCACATCTATCCATGCTAATGTCAAGATTTTAGGAAAAGTGGTGTCTTCAAAACACAGTAATTAACATTAGTTTATGAACTACCTGAAGATGCTATTTATTCAAACTGTTCAAACTTTGCTCAAAAAGACAGGCATTGTTGAAAAAGGTGATGTGGTGGTTTTTACTTCGCTTCCATGCAATTAAAATGTGTCAATTAGAAAAAACAATAAAAAATAGATGCAACAACATTTCCGGTAGGTTGTGAGCTCTCAAAGTACATCATTCTGGTTTTTACAGCTGTGTATGAAGCTTCACACGCCTGCCTACCTCCCTTGTACAATACCTTGTGGCATCAGTCTCTCTGAAATATTTGGCATGAAAACCACTTAAAAGCCATTTCCAACTGCATCTTTCTTTGTTTGCTTTTTGCAAACCACCACCACTGCCCCTCACATCATCTCACCTTCTGATCTCTGCCAACATGTTTCCAGCAATAAATCAAGCAGTCCATTTATGTATTTAGCAATCAGAGATGTTCAATATTTAGGACAAGTGCGGTAATCTGGTTTCTTACAACATGCTGCTATGTAAGCGTTGCATGCAGCGTATAATGCTGTACTAGGGCCATGTCATGCTGTGTGTATTTGGCTTAGGCTCTGTGACATCTCTTCTCCCCAGATGCATGTTGTAGAAAAGGAGCCATAGACCAAGTTGCCCGTCATAACCATAATGTTGGATTTCATGAAAGAATTTCATCTCCTCCCACATTTGGCAGGTCATTGCACTTCAGGTTATCTTCGCTGCCTTGCTTCCTGCTTTAAAATGAAATACAACACATTAGTGCCCTTAAAAAGGAAACATTTTATATGAGGGTGGGTGGGGAACCCTGTATATGCTTTCAACATATCATACAGTAAACAATTTCCACATCACCAACCACAACATCATGGTTTATTTTTGTAAGCACAAGAAACCTAAATAGGTAAAGACAGAGCAGACTGGGTAAGAATTAGCATTCTAATAGCCATAACAATATCCCAAACCACTTGAAAGCAGCAGTACTAGCTATCAAAGATTAAACCATACCACACATGGAAGCAGTCTCACATGAAAGACTGCAGAAGAGTGGAGGCTGGGGGGAGATTAAAGAAATATGGGAAGATTCTGGGCCACATAAAATCAAATGGTATAACGCATATATGGTAATAGAGAAAACAGATCACCTCCTTACCCCCTCTGTC